TAACCCTGCAGACATGTTCACTAAGAACTTAGGACATGTCAAATTCCTGCGTTTCAGAGCGCAACTCGGACTTAGGTTCTACAAGTAATCTAAGTCAGCCCAACGCTTGCATGCGCGATTATCCGCGGCATTTAGCGAGGGGGAGTGTTGAACTGGGCGCTGACTTAGCTGCCAGGTTCTACAACGTACCAGAACATACCGGAACCCTCTGGAATATTCTGGTATATTCCATTATTGTACAAAGGCACGGAGCTCATGTGGGTCAGTGACATCATAGGTGGAGCTCAGTAGGATTATAGATATTCCACGTAGCTTAGTCAGCCTATGGGCCACAGTGTATATAAACCCTGCAGCTCTGCTACCTAATGAAAAAAGGGTCGTTCATACGAGCTTTACCACTAGCTACAGCATCCAACCAATACAGGTGAGTTGTGTAGGGCGCACTGTGCGTGCTGCTGCCTCCATAACTCTTCATCACACAGTCGCTTCAATAAGATGTGTGCTGTCCACTCAGAATGGAATGTGTAGAGTTCAAACTCGCCTCCCCAGGTTTATGTTGTTTTGTAACCACTTATAAGAGGAAATATCATGGCATTTGCATGCAATGATTGAATGAACCTCGGAAATCCATGCAATCCAGATAAATGTACACATGTATGCTTACTGCATATTCCGGGCAATGGAACATCTCTTGGACTGCCCAGGATAAGTATTCCACTCGATCTCCCGGACCTGGAAACTCACTCAGCCCGATTAGCAGCATGCGAACTGACTATGACTCGAGATGTTGACATTGATCTCAACATGCTATGATACAATAATTTGTATGAAATAGTACTCAAGCTGCACAAAGGAGGGGTAAGCTGCCGACAGCCGTCGGCGCTTCTCGAGTAGCCGTCAATGAGGAATTTGTTTGACCCCAACTCCAAGGGCGAGGCGGGGGAGGACACCTGACATTTGCCTTTTTGGTCCACCTATCACGTGAACGCTGAACACTCAACCGCGCGCGCCGCAACGCGAATGTGGCGTCGACCTAACCATGCGTATCGAGGAGCTGGTGCTTGAGGGTACGCGTTTTATCTCCGAACACGTCTTCGGTCGGCTGAATTTTGCTTTCAATGGTCTTGAATCTGCTCAGGCTTCAAGTCTTATCCAGTCCGAACTCAAATAACGGGATGGGATCCGTCTTTCAACGCGATCACTGGGCTGAATGGCTCGGGCAAGTCGAACATTCTCGACGCGATATGCTTTGTTCTGGGGATGACGAATACTTCTGCGGTGAGCGACATAAAACTGCAGACTTGACAGTGATCTGACTTTGGTTCCAGATGCGCGCTCAAAACCAGCAAGACCTGATCTATAAGCGCGGACAAGCCGGAATCACGAAAGCAAGCGTGACGATCGTGTTTGACAACTCAGATCGGGCGACGAGTCCACCGGGGATGGAGAACTGTAAGCAGATCACCGTTACGCGGCAGGTGAGGCATTGCGCGCTCTTCCTCTACCGTGCGCTAACAACTTAAGTACGGATTAGATTGCGCTCCCTAACATCTCAAAGTATCTTTTGAATGGCCATAAATCTCAGCAGCACACGATACAGACCCTTTTCCAAAGCGTCCAGCTCAATATCAACAACCCGAACTTCCTCATCATGCAAGGACGTATTACAAAGGTGAGCCACTTGTTAAGATTTGATATATTCATACTGAGAGTCGCAGGTTCTCAACATGCGCCCTCAAGAAATCCTTGGTATGATCGAAGAGGCGGCGGGTACTCGCATGTTCGAGGAGCGGAAAGACAAGGCGAAGAAAACGATGGGGAAGAAGGACAAGCGGGTGCAGGAGATCAACTCCCTGCTCGCTGAAGAGATCACGCCGAAACTCGATGGGCTGCGTGCGGAGAAGCGAGCCTTCCTACAGTGGCAGAAGGCCTGCTCGGAACTAGAGCGAATAGGGCGGCTGTTGAGGGCTTGGGAATGGACGGAAGGGAACCAGAGAGTGGAGAGGAAGCAGGCTGAGATCGAAAAGAAGGAGAAGGAGATGAAGCGTATCCAAAAGGACAGGGGACGGTACGTCAAGGAGGGAGATGCGGCGGAGAAGCAGTGCGAGCAGCTGAACGCGCAGCGGGATAAGGAGCTGAAGAAGGGTGGGAAGTTCAAGAAGCTGGAAGAGGAGGTGGGAGAGCTCGAGAAAGTTCTGGTCAAGATCCGGACGCAGGTCGAGATCAAGGAAGGCACGATCTCTGACGAGGAAGGGAAAGTGATGACCTTGGAGAAGGAGCTGAAGGAGGTGGGTCGTACGTATGTTTGCACGGAAACCTGCTTATGGTGGTGTAGACCGAGGAAGCGTTGGCCGAGAAACATGCTCAGGTCGAGCACCTCCAAACGTCGTATGACAGCATTAAAGAGAAGCACACGGAGACACAGAATTCCCTTACGACCTCCGAGGAGCTCCTACAGTCCCTGCTCACCGGTCTCGGTGCAAATCATGCCGGCGGTGGCGGATACATGGGCCAACTAGCCGACGCGAAGGCACGGCTCGCGCAAGCCACCGCAGAAGAAGAGCAGTGCAAGACAAAACTGGGTCTGAGCGAGAAGGAACTGAAGGCATTGCAAGCCCGCTGGAAGGAAGTTGAAAGGGAGGCAGGGGACAGCAAGAGGAACCTGGAGGTGATGAAGACCGAGGTTGAGACGCTGCGCGACAAAGTTGCACAATCGGGCTGGAGCGCGGAGAAGGAGCGGGAGGGCCAGGAGGCGCTGCAGAGCGCGAAGGATGAAGTGAGGCGACTAACAGAGGTAAGGAAACCTATTGCACCTTGGCTACCGTACGCTAACCGAGGACGCCACAGCAACGTGACGCGGTCAAGCAGCGACTTTCTTCGTTAAGCTTTGACTATACCTCTCCGCGCCCTAACTTCGATCGGTCTAAAGTGAAGGGGCTTGTGGCGTCCCTGATCTCCCTAGATCCCTCCGACTATAACAAGTCAACGGCTTTGGAGATAACCGCGGGTGGGAAGCTCTACAATGTTATCGTCGACGATAACAAGGTTGGCGAAGACCTTCTGAAAAACGGCGGCTTGAAGCGTCGAGTTACTATCCTTCCCTTGAACAAGATTGACAACAGCCGGATGCATGATGATGTGAGTCTCAGTGTGCGAATTGCGACGTTCTCGTATGTTGACTTTGTTTACTCAGAAAGTCCGCGCGGCGGAGAGGCTGGCGCCGGGCAAGGTCCGGTTGGCGCTCTCTTTGGTTGGTTATCCCGAAGAAGTCAGCAATGCCATGAACTTCGTCTTCGGGAAAACCTTGATCTGCGACGACGCGCAGTCCGCGAAGCTGGTGACCTTCTCGAAGGAGGTCGGTGGTGCTCGGTCGGTCACTCTGGACGGGGACGTCTATGATCCGTCAGGCACCCTCACCGGTGGCGCAGCTCCTAGTGCCAGTGGCGTCCTGGTGAAGGTCCAGGAACTGTTGGACGCAGAAGCGAAGCTGAACGAAGCCAAAAGTCGGCTGGATGCGTTAGAGCGAGAAGAGGAGAGGAGCCGATCGGCTCGAGAAAAATGGAAGAAGCTCGTAAGGGAGCTTGAAATCAAGGAGCACGAGTTAAGGCTGCTGGAAGAGCAGGTTGGAGGCAGCAATGCGGCCAGGGTAAGTGGCAGTCAGACCGTCACTCGAATGACCTAATATTTCTTGTTGTACAGCTCTCCGCCCAGATCGATGAGATGAAGTCCACTATCGCCGAGCTCCAAGCCTCCGTACAAGCGGCCAAAGAGAAGCAGAAGTCCGCTCGAGACGAATGCAAGAAGCTCGAGAAGGACATGGATGAGTTCAAGAACAACAAGGAGGGCAAGATCGACGAACTCAAGGTAATCGCCACCCCGTGGCTCATTGTGAGCGAACTTGCTGACGATGCCTGGGTCAGGCTGATATCGCCAAGCAAAAGGCTGCGCTGCAGAAGCAAGCTGTGGTGGTGAAGACGCAGCAGAAAGAGGTGCACACTGCGACGCTGGAATTGGGTGAGTCAACGTCTCTAGATCATAGCGTTTGGGTGGCGCCGTCAACTTTCGCTCGTAGAGCAATTCGACCAAGACATCGAATCCGCCAAGGCCAACCTGGACGAAGCGCGTGCCGGTATCGAACAGTTACGGGAAGAGCTCAGCGAGTTAACGCAGGAGTTGACCAAGCGCGAGGTCAGCCCCCCTTCCTTGTATGCATTGACGGTTGGATAGGCTAACGCAAGGCACGGAAGGCCGCTCACGCGAAAGTGGAGGCTAAACTTCGGGAAGAGCGGGCGACGCTCACGCGCTTCGACAACGAGCTGAAGGAGCTCGATAAAGTGATCCAGGAGAAGAAGCAGGCAGTTGCTGACGCGGACCTGGCGGTGAAGAAGCTCGAGCACGATATCCAGACGCTGTCCAAGGAGAAGACCACGGCGAGCAACTTCGTCGCGAACTTGGAGAAGATGCATGAATGGATAGCCGAGGATCACGAGTAAGTGTCTCGGCCGCTTGTACTCATAGTTTGGCGCTGACGACGTCCCTTACAGGCTCTTTGGCACACCTGGGAGCCAGTACGACTTCGCGTCGGTGGACATTCCCCTGCTGAGAGAGAAAGCAGCGGAGCTGGAGGATCAGCAGAAGGGGATGAAAAAGAAGGTCAATCCGAAAGTCCTCAACATGATTGATAGGTACTTCAGCCTCTCCTGACATTCACGCACATGCTGATAGAGGTGACAGTGTCGAGAAGAAAGAGGCGGCGCTGAAGAAGATGCTGTCCACAGTCATGAAGGATAAGGAGAAGATCGAGGAGACGATCGAGGAGCTCGACCGGTATAAACTGGATGCCTTGGAGAAGACGTGGACGAAAGTCAATGGGTGAGCACTTATACCCCCGGGCTTCCTGCGGTTACGGAACTATATTTGCAGCGACTTTGGCGGTATCTTCGCCGAGCTCCTCCCGGGCAACTTCGCGAAATTGCAACCACCTGAGGGGCAAGACCTTACGCAAGGACTGGAGGTTAAAGTGCAGCTGGGCAGCGTCTGGAAGCAGAGTCTAACGGAACTCAGCGGTGGCCAACGGTACGTCATTCACCACCGTCCCATTGCACATACGCCTCATACCACTTCATACGCAGATCGCTGATCGCGCTGTCGCTCATCATGTCCCTCCTCCAATTCAAGCCCGCGCCGATGTACATTCTGGACGAAATCGACGCGGCACTCGACCTCTCGCACACGCAGCACATCGGGCACCTGTTCCGCACGCGGTTCAAGGGCTCGCAGTTCATCGTCGTCTCGCTCAAGGAGGGGCTATTCACGAATGCGAACGTGCTTTTCCGCACGCGGTTCAGGGACGGCACGTCCATCGTCGAGCGGACGGCGCAGCGGTCGACGTCGGCGTTGTATGCGGGTGAGAAAGATTCGGAGGGAGATGAGAGGGCGCCGAGGCGGGGGAGAAGGGGTGTAGCATAGAGTGTGCATCTTGTTTTATTCGGTTTCGCTCTTGTTATATGTATGGTACTGTACGATTATGTGGGTATTTACGGTATGAACTACAGGTTCACCCTGTCGTGGGGGTGACCGGACAAGAGACAAATGACAAATGAAACGAATCATAGGCAAACCAAAGAGTCGTGCTGGACAAATTCGGCCTAGGCCACCAAGAGCCCGAGGCTAGCCAGAAGAGAACAGACACATACATCAAAAGGTTTGTGCCAAGTGTGTCGCTGAAACATCCCCTCATCCGTGCTTTCCATGTTGATTCTCTTAGAATAGCACAAAACGCCTGCAGCGCCGAGTAGCGACTGCCGAAGCGTATGGTCGAGTGACGTGCTGCGACGAGCTTGTATCCGCCGCGCCGAGCACAAGACATCCAGATACAACTGAGGGATCAAAGTCATAGTATTCCACGGAAGAGATTGTGTTCAAGAGGGTACGCGTATCTTATGTACCATTAGTGACTCTTCGATACGCATGGTAAGGTTGAAGCCACAATCGCGTCGCGTCACGAGATTGTGCAACGCGCACGTGGCGAGTGACAGAAAAGCAAATGTCAAGATGGCCTTCCGGCTTTCACTGCAGATTGAAGTTCCAGATTCACACTGCAAGTTCCCCAGGAGCCCAATCCGCGTCTGGATACTGTTTCGTGCGGAACATGCCAACGACTTTCTCATACAAATGTTTAATGAGGCTTAACAAAGGCGTCCGCCCCTTCTTACATGACGACTTCCGTCAAACCCGAGCCTGTTCGATGTATTGGTCTAGATGAAGAGCGTTGTATATAAACGTATATTGTGAGATTCGCAACGACCTCTTCTTTCACGTCTTTGTAACAAACGTCTCTCGCAGGTGGTCATGTTCACTTACCCAACCGGCCTGTCCACACTCGCTCAGCATCGGAAGCTATGTATTTCCAACTTTGATGTTGAAACATTTCTGTTTACTCAGAAGGTCGTGAATACGACTTTACTTGCGGCGCATCCTAGAGTCTTAGAGTAAAGGACCTACGCTGCTTTGCCCGTCTTGCCCGAAACCACCTGAAGACAAGGGTCTAGATGATCGAAGATGATTGCCTCGAACTCAACGAGGTACTTGTACTTCGTAGAGTTTACTGAAACTAAACTGTAGTTCACTTCGGAGACTCCGTTTAAGACGCTCCTTGGATCAACCTTCAAGCTGAGAGTCGTCACTGATGAAGCATTGACGTGCCTCGATTCTTCACTCGAGACACTCCCTGTGATTCAGCGCGATTGCGTCGTCTTATATTGCCCCTTTTTTCCGCGAGCCATTTTCATACGCCGCTGGATTAGGTGAGCTTGTCGTCTGCTTGTGGCACGATCGTGACGTGCGGCTGGTTCAGAACGTATGTCTGTGGCCACCACGATGTTATTGTCACTGATGCGATATAGGCTGCGCGTTGGTTATTCTGACTCTGAGGTGCCACAATGACCGCCCCGCAGCTGTGGCGAGTACTCGGGTGCCACGGAGTTGCTTTCCTTGTATAACTTCAGACGCGGCTGGCACAAATCGACGATCTCCTACCTGCTATGTTCGTCTCCCTTTCTGTCGACGTTTCTCTTGCCAATATAGGTGAGTTTCTCCGAGTCTTGTCGCGCCTTATGTTTCGGCATTTTCGAAAGGCTCCCCACAAGAAGAACATGGCACAATATGCGTTGGAACGCCACGAAGTGGCGTTGTTCTTCTGCATATTTAATGCAAAGGTATGTGTCCATACTCGCTAAGACGTGGACGGTATCCCGGCCTGCCGCTCTCGATCCCATGAGCGAAGTCACCCCTGGCATCCCAGATTCTTGGCACCAGATCGCAAAGCTCCTGGCCGATACGCTCGCTCAGCACGCGGAGCAGATCACCGCTATTCTGCTGCAGTCCCTGCCGGGGCTCGAGGGCCTCCAGGATATCGTCCGGGAGGAGCTTCTGGCTGTGTCGCGGCATCCGCTGTCCCTCGCTGTCAGCACAGACATGCAGGGTGTATGTCGTCTCGCGCGCCTGGATGCGTCCGCTCCGAGCCAATCCGGGGACCATCCTCGGTATACTATCATATATGACAAGAGGATTATGGAGCTTGTATCTTGGTTGGCGCGAGACCTCTTCGTCGCCGGCGTGACCATCCAAGTCTTTCGTCTTGTCTTGTATCATGTGGCGAAACGCGTTCCTATGTCATCGTCCAGTCTCGACAAGATTCCGGAAGGAATGGTGCAACTTGGCCAAACTATGGCTTTTGGGGGCCAAATAGCTTTGGAACTGAAGATACAAAGCTCCGGTGCGTTTTCATGGAAGGACATATGTCAGATCGTCATCACTCCGCATGCTGATGTGGGTGAGGATATAATGAATCCAATTGGTGCGTGGTAATTCGTCTTTTGCATACGTTGCTCGCGATCTAATTTTCCCTCGTGCACCAGTCCAATTTCGTGCGGGCTGGCCGAAATCACTATCCCTCCTCAGCCCTTTCCGCCGGTCAGAACATACGTTGGGGGTCAAAGGTGGATATGAACTGCGACGTCTATGCGCATTCAATCCATGAGGTAGTCGTTAGTAGGGATGTGCGCTCGCGCCGCGTTGCTCGCGTACCGCGGCGTCGTGTGGGATGCCAGTGGTTGCACTGTCGAGCTGCAAAGTCCTCTCCTTTCTCAGCTCTTTTTGTAATCAAACGAAAGATCATACTCTAAGCATTCTATTGGTATTGGTTCTGATGTATTTGGTGGAGAACTCAGTGTATTTTACAGGGTTGCCTGGTATACTTTGTGGGTCCCTCAGCCACAGTGCAGAGAATTCGCAGTTGTCTGTCGCGGACTCCAGCCGTAGAGAATGACTGTTCGCTATGCTCGCAATCATGGAGATCGGAGACCTCTTGGCACACAGCATCGGCACACTTGTATATCATCATGAGACAACAATCATCTCGTAGTATATCAGACCTGTATATCCGACCTGTCTATCCCAATGATCATAGCATCTATGGATCATATAAATGGTGCGAAGTCGTGTGCTATCACATCTCCGGAGGGTAATGTTTTGCATATAGGAACCATCCATATGTTATTGTACGAGCTGTAATACCAGCAGGTTGTGAAGACAAACCTCAGGCAGTAGCGGTGTTGTCGACCTTGTTCCGTCATCTTGAAGGCTCGTAGGCCTTCTCGTATATACTCGCTGTAGTCGCTGCACACCACTCTGTGAGCTTCGATGTAGCTAGGTTTTCGTGGCACTGACCTCTTTAAAAGCCTCTCGAGCGAAATCATATGCTGTAGAGTCTCCACCCACCATCTGCCTGCAAGTGGGAAGGAAAAAGGCCAATCACGCTCTGGGTCCACGGATTCTGGACAGAGCTTGACGACAACTGGGATGGTGAGGGAGAGACGCATGCCAGGCGTAATCACCGCCCACGCTTGGTCGTAAGTAACGAGCTTGCCGTCCAGTACATGAATACTCTTCGCGAGCCCCTCATCGTCATATCCAGAGCAGTATACGAACGACGCCGCCCGAGCCATATCCGACCACGGCTCATTTCCTATAGATAATTTCATGACGTCCGTCAATAGCTAATCGTGCTCTTAGAACCAAGCACCACAAATTAGCGCTGCGTGGCCTACCTGAAAACTGGTGCAGAACTCGAAAGGCACAAGAATCTCTTCCCCAGTCGCGCTGGTGACACAGACAGGCTCCTTCCCGCGCTCAATACCACCTTCCCAGGGATACCCGAGTGTCCGTGGGTTACACATCGCAACCTGAGATTTGCTGGAGGTGAGCGTCACAGGGGTATGCGAGTCCCTGCTGGCCGAACTGGGTGAGGTTTAAATTGTGGACCGCCGTATGCGACGCGACGATACTGACGGACCTTGAACCTGCACACAGCCCCAGGGCGACCGAGAGCTTCATCCGTGCTTCACGGAGTTGCTCGGCGTATATCCTCACTTCCTCCTCGGCGAACATGCGCGTACCGGCACTACGGAACAAGGCAGGCCAAGACTTGCTTCCTTTGCTGCTGAGCGAGTGTGCAATCTCCGTCACTCGTACATGGACCGAGTTGACTAGAGTCTTGCATGACATCAAATTGCGCTCTAGGTCCTCGCTGGCTCGCATACCAAGAACCCGCGCGGATGAGGAGACTTGCACCAGCAAGATCTGGAGAAGCTGCAGCTCGCGCTGTAGAGCTTTGTGCTCCTCGTAGATCAAATCGACCCGCGAGAGCCTCTTGGTAAGCGCATGAGTTATACCGAGCAGAGTCGTCACGTCGCCAATGGACCCGATGGAGAAACTTGCATTCAGCGTCGACATAGTCTATACCAGCTGGAGACGCAATCGTCTCTCACGATGCTTTGGCTCGAAGATGGGACAGGGGGACGCGGTTGTCCGCCTCCTATATACCTGAAGAACACGAGGCAGGTCGGGGTCTTCTGATATACTCCGATAACTGATAGTCCGTGCCAGGCGTCAGGAATGCTATGTCGCATGGGAGTGGGGACCCACATATCTCAACAGGAACATACTGTAAGGTCGAAGGTCTGGAGATATGGGGCGGGCCGAGAGAAGGACCATCGCTGTACGGTCGACTGCTGAGCGGGAGCCGCGGAGGTGGGCGGCGACGTGACGTGGAGGGAAGAAGGGTGTTGGAGTGATCGAGGAGAAGATGAGATCCAGAGAAGGAGGATAGTAAATGCTGCGTAGCCGCCTTTTTATTTGCTCTTCGTTCATGCGTTGTACCGTGCGATTATCGAAGGCCATTTATATGTATGGATTGCGGAGGTACCGATGGTCAGTACTCAGGTGACGGCGGATGGGCAGGCTCGATGCGCCCAAGTCGTAGAAACCAATTCAGAAGCCGGAAAGGACAGGCCTCGAGTCGTATATACTCCTCATAGTTGGACACGTGAGGGAGATAGGTTCGGATGGTGGCCACAATGGCAACTACACGATTGGTCCTGGCACTACCGGTCATTTGCATAGAGCACCGAGGCAAATAAAACAGCGCAAGGATTGATAACAAAGAGGAGATGCGTCCATCCTGGCACCAGCTCTTCCATGCGCACGGGCAGGTGGATGCCACATACGCGTCGCGTCACGGCTGGGGACTTTCAGTGTGCACGTGATGGTTGACCAAAGAGGTAAATGTCACGCAAGTGGAATCCAGTTCTCTACTTCCCTGGTTATGCGAGGACGGCTCGCTCCTTCAGGTCAGAATCAATAGTATCCAGATGGTGTCGAACACGTCCTGCTATAACTGATATCCTTGCGGTTAACTGCTGCTCATATGCATCCTTTACATAAACTTGTGCTGTAGCATCATTGAAGCCCCTCCCAGATCATAGGGAGAACTCTGGTGCCACGGAGTCGCCCTCGTCATACAAATCCGCATGCATCCGACGAACGCTTATCTCTCTCCTTCTGATTACACTTCTGTCAATCATTCCCTCGCCGCCCTACGTTTTCCTGTCCGGATTCTTCCAGGTCCCAGCTTCACTTGAATGACTTACCTCTTAATGCATCATGGCTCAGGCCGTTGCGAATGATGTTCCATATCAGTCAGTGAAACATATGTATCTTGAAGAATCTGATGTACACCATACGATCGCCACCCGATGGCAAGTTCTTGTGTGCGACGGAGAACGACGTGAAACGTTCACAACTCTCAAGTATGCTCTATTTGGTGCTCCCCCTTCACCACTCGAATTATGTTGCTTTTTTCCAGCATAATCAATGGCCGGGCATTTACTTAGCTCAGTCTGATGCTCTCTCGGAGTCCACTCGTCCCAGGGGAACGCAACCCATGCTTGATCCTGCTGAAAATCTACATAACACTCATCCAAGGATCAAACACAAGCAATGCAGCAACTGCATCACTCATCAAACTAGGCCCTTGGCTCGCCAGTACCTTGAGTTGTCAGACTGTTGTCCCACCCCGCGGGCCCCTGCCAGAGTGGTACACCGGTAAGTAGTCCTTGGTCTTCTACGGCTTCAGTCTATTGGTGCGTTTTTGATTGAATGTCTCCGTCGTACTGCCAGCTCCCATGGTAGATTCCTGCGCGCCAAGAGTCATTGTTTCGCAGGCGCGGCGATGGAGATGCGTGTCGTTGACGTCTCGGATTAGGAACTCGATGCGGAAATCTCATTGCCATTATATATGCAAGGCTGCTTACCTGGGCTTGTGCGAAACATATTGTTGTCCTTCAGGGAGGCGAGCGAGATTCCTCTGTCGTAGCTTCGTTATCCCGTAAGTCGTTCTATCCCGGTCCAACCTACTTAGGCTATTGTCATCACGGCTCTACTGATAAAGGTGACGAAGGCATGGCTGAGAATATAATACGTCCGCCTCATGACGGTAGCGTTGTTCTCGTTCTCTAGCGTGTTCAGTGCAATCAGTCAGGGGTTCACAGCGCAGTTCCCCCATTGCCCGTGCGCCCCCTTCGCACTCCGAGCGCTGACCCTTAGTTGTGTTGGTCAAAGTCCCCTCAACCCGAGAAACCGACGTCCGAATGCACAGTAGGGGCCAGTTACTTTCACGAATCACGGGCTCGCAGCTGATGGACCCTGATCCGCCCAACCTGTCCGTTTGCTCCACGGGTCGTCCTCACAATCCCGCAAGCTGGTGGTAGATTCAGTTCCCCTTTCGCTGCATCCCTCGTCCACGGTTTGTTGGTCCATCGAACCATCTGCGGGGAATTCAGGAGGCTCATGTCACGGTGCGTCGATAGGTAAGTGATCGCACTGTAACCCTGATAGTGCGGAAACGGTAGAGGAGTTGATTCCCCTTTCGTCGATTCCTAATTCATCGAAGACCGTTTCACGGATCTTAACTCCTCCGAACGATCTGCCGTGGATTCAGGTCAACGTGAGATGCGAGGGAGATCGGTGAAACACAGCGTATATGATTACGTCCCATCCCGCGAGCCTTTTGATGGGAGCAGCTAGTGGGTGGCCACGGTATGATGACGACTGACGAAGTACTCCCACTTATCAGTGATTATAACCCTGCCCGCTCCTCGCCTTTGAAGGCCGATTTCCTGGGTGTGACGATAAACAGTCCGTACGTCCGTTTTCTGTTCAGCCCGAGGGATCCGCCTCTGAGCGCGGACTGGTACTCAAGTACGTGATCCACACGTTCGCCATTGTACCGAATATCTCGGCCAGGTCACATCGTTGTACACGTCGCGCGAAGTCCGGTCACCAGCGCACAACACCCATCAGCGCTGCCATTATCATCGCAGTATACAGTATACAACATACAACGTACGGCATACAACAACAGCACATCCCACATAACACATCCTACCGCCCGGACCAACTACTCCGCGAACTCCCACACCGTCACGTCGCCCCCCGGGTGCGTCTTCGCGAGCGGCTCGACCGCCTTGCACCCCGCCCCGCACGCGGGGAACACGAATTTGAGCAGGCACCGTGGGCGGCTGGGGGGCAGGCGCCGGAAGTACTCGAGCGCGGCGCGGATGCACGGGGGGTGGTCGCTGTTTGTTTGGGGGGGGGGGTGAGTATGGGGTGAAGGGGGAGAGGAAGGGGGAGGGGGGAAGGGGGGAGAGGGAAAGGAAGGGAGAGGGAAGGTGAGTGAAAACGCACCCGCGTATCATATCCACGAGCGTGCTCACGTCCATCACGACCTGGCGCCACCGTTTCTCGACGTACTCCTCTACGCCCTCCTCCCCTCTTCCTCCCCCCTCCCGCTCCTCCCCCGCGGGCTTCGCCCACTCCGCGTACACGTGCACGCGCAGCTCGAGGGTGAGCGCGAGCCGCATGCCGGGCGTGATGGGGAAGGCGCGGCTGCCGAGCCCGCGGCGGCGCGCGGGGTATTCGTGGATCTCGCCGTTGATCACTTCGACGCGGTGCGAGACGGGGGGTGGGGAGGAGAGGGAGGAGAGGGAGGAGGAGGAGGAGGAAGAAGCGGATGACGGAGAGGATGAGCAGGATGAGGAGGCAGACAGCGAGGGGGGAGAGGAGGAAGTATATATAAACTCCGCCCCGCGCGCGAGCTCGGACCACGGGTAGGTGCTCATCGAGAGCATCATCACGTCCGTCAGCACCTTGCGTACATTCACATCAACATCCCGCATCCCCCCATATAGAACGGGGGAAGGGCGAAGGCGAACGCACCTTGAAGTTCGCGGTGAACTCGATGGGCACGGCGAGCGTCTCGCCCGTCGCGCCGCGCACCTCGACGGGCTCCCGCCCGGGCGCGATGCCGCCCTCCCAGGGGTACCCGAGCGTCTTCAGCCTTCGAGCGGGACCGAGCGCGCCGGCGCGCGACACCGCCGAGTCACTTTACGGGCTGTGAGCACTAGAAGGGAGGGGAGAGGGGGGGAGACGCACAGATCGCGGCGCTCCAGCGCGGTGGACAGCTTCAGGCGCGCGTCGCGCAGCTGCTCTTTGTATATCCGCACCTCCTCCTCGGGGAGGAGGCATATGCGCACCTTCCGCGCCGCCTTCCGCCAGCTGCCCGCGCGGCTCACGCGCTCCATGTCTTCCAGGCGCACGTGCACGGACTTGACGAGGGTCCGGCACGTCTGCGCGCGGCGCTGGATGTCTGGGTCCGAGGGCGAGGGGGAGGGGGAGGGGGAGAGGGCGCGGACGAGGAGCATCTCGAGCAGCTGGACTTCGCGCCGGAGCGCACGGTGCTCCGTCTGGAGGGGGTCGATCGTCCAGAGCTTGACGGCGAGCGCGTGCGTGAGGCCGAGGAGGGTGCCGAAGTCCCCGAAGGAGCCGAAGGAGAGGGCGAAGGCGACGACTGGCATGGGCTGTTTGCTTCAATAGTTGGGAAAAAGGAGACTGATGGGACGGGAAGGTGTGATCTGTCGGGTCTGCGTATATCAGCGTTGCGGGGGGAGTATTCGCTGTTATCCACTGGGATCTAGAAGTCGTGCCTGTCCGGGCATGAGGCATTGAGGTGCAATGCTATGTTCTTGGGAAGTGGGACCCACAATCATCGGGATCCGTTCTTTCTGAATATTCGGTATGCTCAGCCACAGAGTTCGAGGTGTTTACCCATCGCCTGCATAGAAGTTTACTTGGTCAACGCTTGAGTAGTGAATGGATCCCGACTTGCAATATTTATCGCATGGGACATGCAGGACATGACCTATGCAGGAGAAATATTTCCTTGCGGTAGAACGGGACTGAAGCCAGTAGAACAGGCGAATGGGCCAGAGGCGTAGTGGTAGCGTAGTGGCAGCACTGGTAGACAGGAGGAACTGCAAGCTACGCCGGAACCCGCGCAACTTGCGAGGCCGCGTCTGCCTCTGCATTTCCCTGCGCAGCTCCTTGTAATCGAAATACCCGATGACCACCATTTCCTCCAGAAGATCGCAAACGAACGTCTGGTAGCTGTGGGTCAGTCAAAGCACCGTATTTATCGTCACGCGTGTTCATGACATCGCACTAAATGCAAAGATTCTTGAAGCACACAAAGTACGCGGCAGGCTGATATTGATCTCACTCTGACTGACTTGGACTCAGACGAGCCCTCATCCAAACACCGAAAATCTGTACATTTCACCAAGCTACGCGTTTCGCCCTTCGCCTCGGCACCATGTCAGGCCGCAACTCCAACAACAACAGCGCCTACCGCGGCGGCTACTTCTCCTCCCGCCGCCACGGCAACCCCTCCTCCTACCACACTTCCTCCACCGCCTATCACTCGCACCCACCAGGCCAGTACGAACTCGAACACGACACCTACGCTTCCCCGGGTTCCGCCAACTGGCACCAAGGACGCCGTAATCTCGACCGGAGACCGTCGCCCGACTATGGCGAGTTCGTCGTGCACGACCCTGATCCGGAGCCCGAGCCCGGGACCCGCGCGTCCTCGCCCGCCCCCGCCCCGCCCTCCTCGTCCCTCCGCGCCAAATCGAAATCGAAATCCCCCAGCCCCGCGCCCCCGCCGCGCGCGCCATCCCCGACGTACCTGCGCACCTCGCTCCTCCCGTCCGAGCCGCTCCCCCCGGCCGCCGCCCCGCGCAAGCTCCTCATCCTCGATCTGAACGGCACCCTCCTCATCCGCTCCCCGCACGCCGGCGGGCGGTCCGCGTACCGGTGGGCGAACGGCCACCCGCCCCCGCCGAGGCTGCGTCCCACCCATCCACGCCCGTACATGCCCGCGTTCAGGAACTACCTCTTCCACCCCGAGACGCACGCGTGGCTGGACGTGATGGTGTGGAGCAGCGCGCAGCCGCACAGCGTGGACGACATGGTCCGGCGCTGTTTCGGCGAACGACGGCGCGAGCTGCGCGCGGTGTGGGCAAGGGACACGCTGGGCTTGTCCGGCGACCAGTACCGTGAGTGCGCGCATCCGTCTTCTCCTGACGCGCGGCAGTGAGTGACGGGGAGTGTAGACAAGAAGACGCAGACGACGAAGGACCTGGCGAAGCCGTGGGCGCACTTCGCCTCGCTCCCCACCCAACCCGCTTCCTCCCGCTCGCGCTCTTCGTCGATCGCCAGCTCGCGCCCGTCGTCCCCCGCCCCCGCCCCCGCATCCGAGCCCGACGGCATACACCCTCCTGCGACGCACGTGCACTCCGCGCGCACGACCCTCCTCCTCGACGACTCCCCGCGCAAAGCGCACCTCCAGCCGTACAACCACGTCTGCATCCGCGAGTACGACGCGTCCCTGCGGCGCGCGGACCTCGAGGTCCTGCACGCCGCGCGCGAGGAGGAGCGCGCGCGGAAGGAAGACGAGGAGGAGCGCGCGCGGAAGGAAGACGGGGAGCAGCGCGCGCGGACGCGAGACGACGAGGCGGGCGTACCCGGAGAAGCGGACGGCGACGCCAAAGCGCGCTCCCCCTCCCGCTCCCGCTCCCCCTCCCCCTCGCTCTCCCCCGCCCCCGACCGCAAACGCAAACGCAAGAAGAGAAAACCCATCCCCGCGCTGCGCGAAGGCCAGACGTACGACGCGACGCTCCTCGCCGTCGTCGGCGTGCTCGACGCGGTGCGCGCGGAGAGCAACGTCGCGGGCTGGATCAGGCGCGGCGGGCTGTGGGGGCCGCGGCGCGGGGAGATCGGGGGTGGGGAAGGGGAAGGGGAAGGGGAAGAGGGGGGAGAGGGGGGAGAGGGGGGCAAGCAGGCGTCGGGTGCGCCGATCATAGCGGCGAGTGAGTCGAGCGAGTCGGCGGACAGTCCAGACGCGAAGCGCCAGAAACTGCGCGGGCTCTCGCGCTCCGCGTCCCAGGCGGAAGAAGCGGGGGAAGCGAAGGGCGAGGGCCAGGCGGTGAAGGCGGGCAACGACGCGGACTCGCCTGTCGTCGACGAGCCGGCAGGAGGCACCGGCGATTTGGCGGGGAAGATGTGGTTCGAGGACGCGCGCGTGATGGAGTACTGGGCGCAGAGAGGGCGCGCGGCGCTGGAGAGGCTGGGGATACCTGTAGAGCACGGGGTCGAGTCGTAGCAGATCTCATCTTGGGATAGTCCTCCTCATGCATAAGACAGAATACGCATCTTGTAGATCCGGGCATGTCGGATAATGAATCACAGTACGCATAAACACGCAAATAACAGTACAATACAAACACGCTTCCTCTCCCTCACTGTGCCCCAGCGGCGTTCCCCCCACCCCGCTCCCACCGGTCATAGCACTCCAGCGTCACGCTCGCCAGAAAGCCCGGTATGCAATTCCGCTCGAGCACCCAGAACTGGAGCATCCCCTCAATATCGACAGGCACGTCCGCGCCCTGCGCGACGAGCTGCATCGTCGCCTGCCCGTTCTCGGCCGAGGTGGGCTGGAACACAAAGGACGCGTTGAGGTCGTACTGCGAGGTGACGCGCACGGAGCCGTTCGGGTAGAACGCGAGCTTGATCCCCAGGATGGAGGACAGGGCTTCGCGGAACTCGGCCGTTTTCTTCGTGTAGACCTAGCACACACGCCGCTGGGTGAGTCGGCATTGCGGAAGTGCAGCGCAAACACACACCTCCTTGAGCCGGATGTACAACTTCTCCTTCTTCCGCACCTCCGCGAGCAGCTCCTCCTTCTCCCTACTCACCGCCTCCCAGCTCTCGCGCGGGACGAACGACTCCCTCTTCTCCTCCCCCTCCCCGCCCGAAACGACCCCGCGCTCCTCGAGCTCCTTCAGCCGCGCGAGGAGCGCCTCGTTCTCGGCTTTGAGCCGGTCGAGCACGGCCTGCCGCGTGTCCGCCCACTGCTGCGCGGGGTTGTCGCGCAGCGCGAGCACGCGCGTGCCCGGCGGGACGTGCCGCCCGCCGCCGACCTCGCCGCGCAGCTCGAACAGCGCCTGCTCGACGTGCTCGTGCTTCTCTTCGAGCTGCGCGTTGGCGGATTCCGCTTCCTCGAGCGCTAGCATGGGGTTGAGGTGTGAGGGATAGCCGAACGGGTAATATGCAACCGTACCTTTTTGCGCTTGCAGTTTCTCCTCTTGCACGGCGCGCAGGGCGTCTGCGAGCTCTTTCCGGCTCGGGCCGTTCTGGAGCCTCCCCCCGCCCTCTGTGATTTCCTTCTCGAGCTCGGCGATGCGGGATTTGTAGTCGGCCAGGAGGGCTTCGAGGTGCTGGATTCGCTGCGTCTGGATTTCGTCGGGCTTTGCGCCCTCTTGCGCGGCGTCCTCTGCGGTGTAGCTGGCCTATGTCGTTTTAGTATGCGAGAGTGGTGATATATGGGGTGAAGGGGACTTACTAGGAGCGCTTGGAGGAAGCCGACTTCGCGCTCTGCGAGCGTGACTTTCTGCTCCTTTCGATTCACAATGTCTTTCAGGACCCGAACTTCTGATTGGAGTTTGTCGATCGTCTCCCGCTGGTCTTTACGTGAGCTTTCGGAATCGGCGAGTTCCTTTTCGCGCTGGTGAAGTAATGCCACCGTCGCCCCATGTTCTTCCAGCAGACGAGCATGCTCCATGCGCAGCGCAGAAAGGCTCTGAGTTACTGAGACAGGGGTCTGCGAGGGTGAGCTCGACGCATTCTTCGTAGCCCTAGAGACAGCATCGAATCAAAGCCCAGATGGCCACGACGGTGCACGTACCAATCCTCCCTCTCCTTACGCGCCGCTTCCACCTCCGCCTCGAGCCTCACAACCTTCTCGCGCAACGGCTCCAGCGCGCGCAGCTTCGCTTCCATCCCCCGCTTCTCCTCCCGCAGCACCTCGACGCTCGTATAGCGTTCGCGGAGTGCGTGCACTTCCTGATTGAGCTTTGCGTTCGTCGCCTCGAGCGTGCGCATGTAGTTCGCCTGGCGGTGGAGTTCCTCGCGCACGACCGCCCAGTTCTCCTCCTCCAGGTTTTCGCGCGAGAAGCTTTCGTTCGCAATGCTCAGGTCCTCCATGCGCTCCTGCGCTTCTTGGACCTCGCGGCTCCGCTCGTCGGCGAGGCGCTTGAACTCTTGCAACTCGGATTCCAGGGTCTCGACTTGTCTTTCCAGGGTTGAGATGCGCGTCTTCTGGGAGGCGATCGTGCTAGAGGTGCTTCGCGAGAGTTGTTCGTGTTGCTCTTTCAGGTCGACGTGTTCTTCTTGCAGGTCGCGGTACGAGTCACGCAACGCACGTAGTTCTTTGTCGTACTTTGTCTAGTAGGGCGAGTGATTGTGAGATAGTGTGCTTCAGGTAAGACAAAGCAAGGCATCACCTTTGCCTCCTCGTGCTCCGCCATTTCCTGCTCCTTGGCCTGCTTCTCCTCCTCTGCCCGTTCGTGAAGCCATCGCCGGTCACGTTCGAGCCCTTCAATGATGGCGTCCTTCTCCCTCAATCGCTTCTCCAAGTCTATCTTCGCTGCCTTCGCGGTCGCGAGCTGCCTCTCGAATGACGACTGCGCGATAGTCGACGTGAATGCCTGCGATCGCTGTTGCCGTTTCGCAGTGGCCTGTTCTGTAGATAGCGGCGTCGTTCAACGGCCTCTGTGAGCAATCAATACAACAAAGACTTGCCACACCGGGGCGCCACTCGCCTCGTTCCAGTTCAGCAGTTAACGAGTCTCTCTTCATCGCTGAAGAGCGCGCCGACGCCGAAGGCAGCCTGCTCGACCTGTTTGCCGGCGTCACGAACTTTTTGCCTTCCATTTCAGCAGTAGACTATTCATAGACTAGAATGTGAGACGGGAGAGAGAAAGAGGCGCGTCGCGCGTCCGAGCGTGGCGGCAGCGCACGTGAAGCTTTCCCTTCCGGCCACAACCTTCGAACTCGCGATGAGCTCTGACGAATCTGATTTGACCGACTTGGACTACGACGAGGGCGAGATACAGGAAGAGTCGCGGCAGACGCGCAATGGGAAAGGTGGAACCGCGAAAAATGGGCGCAAAGTGCGGAAAGTGCTGTCCAAGCCTCGGACGGTGCACTACACCCCGCAGTCCTTGTTCGGTGCGTTCAAGTATATGCCAACAAATCTCTACTTACTTAACGGATTTTCAAGAACAAATCCATAACGGTGACATCGATCTGAACCCGGATTACCAGCGCGGTACGTCACGCTTCGAATGCTGTGGACGAGTGGCGCGACTTACAGTACCTTTCGTCACAGAGGTCGTGTGGCCCGAAACGAAGCAGAGTGCTGTAGTCGACTCATTCCTAAGGCACTTCTACGTTCCCCCTGTCATATTCTGTGCGTTGTTTCATCTCATAAATCGCATACGGTGTTCATACGTATCCTGTACAGCGGTCAATGTAGACGAGGACGGGATAGAGCATAGGACGTGCATAGATGGTAAACAGCGGTTGACGTCGATTGTAAAGTAAGTATCTGATAGACCATCCTGTTGCTTGCATAACTGACTTGCTCCGGAGGTTCATGGATGGCATGGTAGGTCGGGACGATTGCACGTCTCGCACCGGCTGACGTAGTATCTTTCATCGACGGGTACCTTCAGATTTCATGTGAGCCTCCAGTGTCGTATATCTTCATTCTCCTTACTAACGCGTATCCCTATTAGTTAGGGACCCGTACGTCGCGCGTCGTTGTCACTGTGACCGCATCCTCAATATTGCTTTAGCTTCACCAACGAAAAGTACTGGTTCAAGGAAAACCCCCAGGCTGCCAGGGCCCACAAGTTGCTCCCGGACAAGTACAGAAAAGAGTGGGGACGGATCCAGGTCGTTTGTATCGAATACGATGGCTTGCACGAAAGTGAGGAGCGAGAGATCTTCCAAGTATGCATGACCTTTATGACAGGTCTCTTCGCGATGTTCTGATTCGTCTTTCTTTGAATACAGCGCGTTCAAATGGGCATGGCGCTCACTCCGTCCGGTATGGTCTCTTGCCGTCAATCTATAGTTCGATTGAATGAACCGTCCCAATGCCAGAAAAACTTCAGGCAATATCCAGTCCGAAGGCCTCCTTTGTCCGAGAGATATTAGCAACGTATAGCGAGCTCACGACGGACTGGGATAGCAGTCGCGGCAATGACTTCCGATGCGTAGCCCAGGCCCTGTTGAATATCGACAAGTACCCACTGAAGTCTGGGGGCACGATAATGCAGGTCGAGAAGTGGCTGAATACGGAAGTTGATCTCGACGAGGACGTGAAGGATGACTACCGCCGCACCTTCGGCGTCTTCGTGGACCTCTTGCGGGACAAGACACTCAGCAAATGCTTACGGACTCCGACGACCATCGCTCCCGTCGAGTTCGTCATGATCTGCCTTCTCATTGCTCGCGAGAAGGACAGACTGACATTGGCTCAGCTGTCTAATGTCATTCTAGATATGCGGAGGGATGTTCGTGCCAATCACAAGGATATTCGGTTGAACTCCCTTGTGATGAAGACTATGGTGACCTTCATTGGCGGTATCAAACCAAGCAAGGTGAAGGATGGGGGAGGTGAGCCAGCAGGCAGGAAGGTCTTATCAGCTCCAAAGAGAAAATTGAAGGAAGATGATGAGACTGGGGGAAGCAAGGTCCAGAAGAATCTTGAAGGGCCGATGAAGGTTCAGGCTCCTACTCCTGAAACTGGAAGAGGGCCTCGAGGGTCTCCTGCAAATGGGCCTCTGGCATCACAGGTAAAACAGGAGGCAGGTTCTGGGAATACCTTCCCTCAGCCTACTGGGGATCCAAAGATTTCTTCCCCTAGGCCTTTAACTCCAAGTATTCCTCCTGTTCCTGATAGATTGGCTGCTATCAGGTCTGCAAGGCTTGGAAGGCCACCCCCTTCAGGCCCAGCAGCTGACAGGGCTGGTCCATCCACTCAGAGGTCCCCTTACCCTCCCTCTCCACTGTCTGCTGCCAGTTTTCCTCCTACCCCTAGTTTTCCTCCTGGCACCCCATCAATTGCTACTCCAAGTTCACAGGTTCCTCCCCCCACCCAGCTGGATACATCCATTATGGCTAGGATGGCTCTTCTTCATGGTCTGCCTCAGTACTCTGAGAGTCCAGTACTAGGCTACCAGGATCAGCAAGGAAGGGGGATCTCTCATCCAAGTCAAGATCCTTGGCAGGGGTACCCTCAACCTAGTGCAGATCCTAGGGAGCATGGAAGAGGTGGTGGTCCAAGTCAAGACCCCAGACAAGGCTATCATCATGCAGGTAGAGATCCTAGGGGTTATGGGAGAAGCACTGATCCACATCAGTCAAGGCATCAGGATCAGGGATGGGGAAGTTATCATAGATGATGCAGTTTGAAGTGGTGCATGTTATTGTTAATGCCTAAGCTTGATGAGGGTGAAGCATGCCAAGGTCAGGGCTAAAACTGAGGAAAAATTATTCTCAAGAGGTAAGTGATAGAAGGAGCTGTATAGCTAGAAACTGTGTCCCACCACTCACTTTTGCTCAGTATTGTCAATGACTGAGTAAATACTACACTATTACCATGGGAATGACTTTGTGACCACTATGACAAAAAAGTAGTCAGTTGTCAGAGTATTTTTCAGGTAAAGGGGGAGATCCCCGCAGGATTCCCAAGTGCTGATCAACATTGTAAACAAGTGCATGCCGAGCAGTGCCAAGAAACCCTAATGGGGTAAGCCTGAGTTGACTTTGACTATGACAGTCTGGAGTAATAATGGCAGTCAGTCCATATTTACCGGCATGAATTGACCATCTGTCATAACTCTGACTATGACTGTGACAACACTGCTTTGCGCTCCTTACTGCCCACTGTAAGCCAGATGCCAGCTTCACTTGGCAGTAGTGAAATGCATGAGAGCTGTACCTGTGACCCGTAAGGTCTTGAACACATGGCATTAGATGCACTTTGAAAACTAAAATCTGCAGGGTTACATGAAGGAGTGATACAGGTGTACCCATGCAGTTCCTTACGCCTGGTCAGGCTCAGATGCATGCTGTGTGGAACTTGCTGCAGTGCAGTTCCTGATCCTGAGAGAATCAGTTTGAACCTGGTGAGTCCAAGTTCTGGTTCATGGTCTGGCTTGCAGGTGGAGGTTCAGGGATGGCCAGGAGACAGCCATGATGAGCACTGGCAGTGAATGAAGAAGGAAAGACGCCAACAGACTAGGGATCAAAGGAGTATAGTCTGTGTATTCAAGGGAGTGTGGCTCAACACCTGGTGAAGGCAGGTGGCAGGTCGCAACTACTGTCCATGGATGTGGCGAGTGCAAGGTTTTGAACCACATGATAAGGTGTGCAGCATCCGTGAAGCCATCAGGTGAGTGCAGCAAGTGACAATACACATTGAACACCATACAGCCACAGACACAGCAAGAAGCACCCATTGTCCAGGAGTGTTCTTCATACCAGAAAAGGGCTGACCTTGCAGTGCCACAGTGTTGACCAGTTGATACACTGAGGTGCAGTGTGCATGAAAACATCGGAGATGCACTGCAAGCAGGGCTGGAGCTCAGTGCCTACGGGCAAAAATGTGAGAAGCACCTGTCATCTGGGAAGCATTGGCTGTACCATGAGAAAAGGGGGTCGGCTTTCAACACCACAATGGTGCAGCGACAGGGGATGGGTGTGAGCATTGCAAACATGTCAGTGGATTTGGGGGTAATCCCTGAGAAGGACAACTAGTACATGTGTTCACATGCATTGATTCAGTAAAGGCAAGCATTGGCAGAGACAGGGCACGCACAAGAGCACAGGTGGAGCACAAAGCTGACAAATGTAACGGTAGGCAGATGTTTGCATAGAGCACAAGTTCTGAGGATGATGACAGCGAGCAATAGTGTTTAGTGTTAGGTTTTGGTTGTATTGGATGCAGAGTCACTGGGACAAATAGGTACAAACAGCTTGACTATATACTGAGCCACTGTATTTCCTTTGTCCTTAGTCCGTGCAATTGACCTTGCCTTCGGTTTGTGTATGTGTCTGGGTCTGGTGTGCTTATGGCGACCTATCTTATGCTTCCCTGTTCTGCCTGCTGCTAACAAATAGTGAGGTTGATGTCAAGAAAAAAGTGTAAGCTGGCTCTCCAGCCAAGAAATCTGGAAGTCAAATCATGGCTGTAATCCAGACCAGGATTACATCTTCATGCCTTCACCCTCATGAGCAGCCTCATTGCCTCCATTCCTAGGCCTAGGGACAGTCAGACATCAAAAGGGTTAGATGTGGGAGCATGTATCCCAATACTGTCTTGGCTGCCATTATTTCAGAAGGTTGATCAGGCAGGACAATGCCAAACACGACCAGATGATGCTCTTATCCAAGTTCTTTGTGGTGTGAGTGTCAGGCAGGCAGGCCTGCCCCCCTCCGCCATCGAGGCCGTGGCGTGTCATGCCGGTCTGCTGCCATTTACGGAGCACAAGTTGATCTTCGCCATACACGAGGCGATGATGCACCGCTACTCACCGCAACGCCTATACTGAGGAGCAAATGCTGGTACCAACAATATACACCGATAAAAGTGCCCCTAAAGTACGTGGACCGATAACCGCATGGATCTCATTTTCCGAACAAATAGCGCCAAAGCTTGAAACCCGCACAGTCGACTGCCGAATATATTCGCGATTTCCTACCGAAAAATCCGTGCAGCCTATCGACGTCCGTTGCTAAGATGACGAAACGCCCAAAGTGAAATTTGCGCTGAGCCTTGCCTTCACGACGTCCTTGAACCTATCTGCATTCGATCTCTTCGCCGTTTGTCGCGATTTCCGGACTTACGGCCTGGCAAGCTCGATCTGCAGTGCCAGTAGCGATTGTCTAGCGGTCTGAAGAGGTCGAGATATTCACAGAAAAGTTATGGACATCGAACGAGGACCGTCGACGTCGTCCCAGCGAGGCCCCCCTCGACTCCATTTTCTCTCTGCGCCGACAACCAAGCCTAGGCTTCAGTTCTTGTCAAATCTTCTCCCCCAGTCCGAGCTAGTTTCGGCGGCATCCGAAGTGCCAGTCCATTACCCACCCCCCGTACCGCCCAGTATACCGCAGTTGACGCCCGGGGTTTGTTCCCAGCCGCACTGCCGGAACACCCTTCTCCCTGCATGGCCATACAAGAACTGCGGCGAATGCCTGGAGAAGAGACGCATCGCGAGACATAGGCAACGCACGAAAAGCAGATCGCAAGAGGTAGAGGGGGACCGGGCGGAAGGCACAGTAATTCAAGCGGTGAGTCACCTTATGTCGATCTTTGGATGTAGTTGCGGGTGGCATTACGTGATTGCAACACGACGCCTCATCTGCCACTCTCAACGTCCTGGCGCATTCTATGCCTGCGTATTGCGCCTGCCGCTATGGATTTGGGCTTGTGTCTGCTGTCGTATTGGACACCCGAGAGGGCATCGGCGAGGTAACTGATGTAGCGCACTATCAGTCCAAACCATGGGGTCGCGGAAGACCTTGACGTGCTGACGCAGAAGAGGTCTCGTACGTATTGCGAGCATTAAACGTCTCTGCGCGGACCGATCCTGCTTCGCGTCGAGAGACGGACTATCGCCTCTTACCATGGGTGTAATCTCGGGCTTTTCGCTGATAGTGTTGTCTGTCAGGAGCCAGTTCCGACTCAGCAAGCCGTTCAGAGCATACGCTGCAGCCAATGCACGACGAAATTCCGTCCGAAGAGTGCTGATCAGCAGCTATGTACGACGTGCCATCTTCCACCCCAGCCAAGCACCAGCTCGTACGTACAGCACGGCCCATTGCACTCCCCGAGCGCCGTCGCCTCGTTCCCAGCGCCTCTACCAGCGTCTGGGTATCCCGATCGGGCGATATCCCACCGACACGTCGTGATCAGCCATAACTCGACGGGGATGGCACCAGATTACAGCCAGACGCGTCCCATGATACCACATTTCAACGCGCAAGGTGAACTGATTGATCCTGCAGTCGATGGCATGCCGCAGGTAAAGGTCAGTGCGTGTTTGATAGCTGTCAGCCGTTCGAGTCTGAATTTTCGGGCAGATTTCCAAGCGGACAGCGTCGGGCTCATCGCTCATGGACATCGGTCTTCCCTTCCAACACGCGCAGTCAGCGATTTCTGTGGTATCGCAGACTCGACCGAGCGCCGGTCCTTTTCCGGTCACCAATCCTGTTATCGGGCCTCACATGACCGTGATACCCGTAGCGAGACCTGCACCGATCATCCCTCCGCTCACGCGCGGAGAGCCCGAGACCATTGACCTTACCGCTGACGAACCAGACGCTCCTCCCACTGCGGTCGAAGCCGCTCCTCCACCACCCTCCGCCGCCCCCGCCACTCCTACTAAGATGCCGGCAACCACTGATTCAAGTCCGAGCCCGGGCGGCGCCGCGCGCTTGACAATTCGTCTTCCCGCTCGTAAAAGAAAGACTGAGCTCGATCCGTCGTTTACCCGTACGCCCAGCCGGACGACCCCTGTCGTTCCTGTTCCCTTATTCCCTGGAATGGTATGTCAGTTTTTAGCCCTGTGGTTTATGTTGTGGCGCTGACCGACGAGTATCTTCGACCGCGTTTACAACATGTTCTGTTGCTTATCAGAGAGTATGCAGCACTCCTGGCTGTGGTAAAGTCGTGCCGATGGACTCTACGTCTCTCAGATGCGACGACTGCAGCTTGAAACGGTGGAAGCAGTGGCTGAAAGGGAGCCGACAGGACGTCGGGCGTCCCCAGCAAGGTACGAGCCGTCCAAATGCGCCTGCCAGTGTTTCCTCCGCGAGGCGGGTTCGCAAGAAGAGGTGTTTTCCCTCTGATCGCGCAGACGACTCGAAAGGCCTGTGGACGGGTCCAACCTCTGCCCGAAATCCGGAACATCACAACGCCTCCAGCAGCAAGGCCACTGGCGTGACTGCCGGTCCCCCGCTTGATCATGCCGCAACTGTACAAGATCATATGGCGAAATCATTACTATCTTCGGACGTCGCTGTACTCCCATTGCCAGGCAAAGACTCATCTGCCGCTGAAGCCACTCTGGACTCCCTGGCTGACGAAAGCATGGTCCTGGATGATCTCGACGATTTGGGAGAACTGTGTTATCCCGAGGAGGATCCAGACGCCTCCATACGCATTGATCAGCTGTCTGCGGACACCGCATCTGTGGCGGTGAAATATGAAGATACGGACACCGGCAAGGCTATCGATACTATCCTCCCGCTGGATCCAGAAGTACGTCAACCGTCCGAGGACCCTGGCGAGAGGATCATGGCTTGCCTCACACCGCCGCCGCCTCCGGCCTCCCCACCTCAAGTTGAGGTCAAGCTCGAAGGTCTGCAACTATCGGAACCATGCCAAAGTACACCCGCTCCTGAACAGAGCAGTACAGTTCGTTCGTCCAGCATTATGGACAGCGAACTTCCCGACCCGCGAGACTCACTTTCAGACTTGTCTGACTTGACTCCAGTCGAAGACTCCACTGACTCGGGAGAAACGGAGATCGACCCGTTAGACAGCGAGCGGGAAGATCAGACCGTCTCACAGCCGGTCGCCCGTCCTTCGTTGACGATAAGGCTGCCGGTTATGCATCGGACCTGCAATCATCCCACCTGTAAGCGTCCGATACCTGCGAATTACCGCTGGAAGTTATGCATGGAATGCCGTGAAAGAGGCCGTCTCTACCAGAGGAAAAGGCTTGGATTTGAGGGTCGTAAGAACGAGCTCGAGGAGTACCTCGAGGACCCTAGCCTGATTACTACGCTGCCTACTGTAAGTTCTTCTCTGTTCTCCTGAACCATCGTAGCTTAGCTCTCGAGGGGTTTAGTCTTCGAGCGGGCGCATCTGTAACAACAGGTCCTGCAATAATGTCCTTCCTCCAGACTATCGGTGGAAGCTATGCGAGACTTGCCGAGGAGGGTCTCGGCAAGCCCTTCGTTGGTCCGCGAAGTCTCTTCCTGGGCTGTCATCCGACCTGCACGATCCACGGGACGAAGATGCAACCGAAAGTGACGATGCTCTACCGAAGGTCCCGCGTGGGCCGTACTACAGGAAAAGAACTCCCGGTGGCACATTACAGGCTGTACCCGAAGTAAGGTTCATGTCATCTATCTATTCGAACCAGTCCTTATATTGCCACAGACTATCGATCAATCCTCGATTCCTAAGCCCGTCAGTCCTCCAGCGCATCGCGTTTGTAGGACTCCATTTTGCGGTACTCTTGTCCCGCTTTCGTCCAGATCGAAATTCTGTAGTAGTTGCCGTCGCCGAACGTCCCAGCTGCGACATGAGGAGGACGAAGTTTCTGAGCCCGACATACCTTTGTCAAGCCTGGTCAAGCCTGGACGCAAGAAGAAAGCGAAGCGTAGGCGGGAAAGTCCACCTGGTGAGAGGGTGACGAAGTCCGAGCCAAAGCGTCCGTCGTCCTTGTGGGACAACTTCGTTCCGCCTCCGCAGCCACCATCGTTGTTCCCTCGAATAACTCACTTTCAGCACATCGGCGCTCTCGTGAAAGTCTTCAAGACTCGGCTGTCCGGATTCTTCCACGCGCAGGGACTGTACATACGGCATAAGATCGACATGACTGGAAGGCTGGACCAGGAGGGCGAGCTCCCCGTGATCTTCGAGTTCGACGGCGAGTATGCTATTGTGGCATATTCGTGGCACCACGCGAGCCAGGTTCAACATTGGGCCGACGATACCACCAAGCTTATGGAGGATAGCCTAGGCCTGAAGTTTCAGTACGTGAAGCTGATTTCGCGTCTCCGTCTGTGCTGACTGAGATATTATCTCTCTGCATAGTCTCATGGGCTCGTTTATGGCTCCTGGTGGCGCTATTGTCACCCGTTTCCACTGCCAGCATGATATTATTGTTCCTGTCCCCGCAAAATCGCCAGTAGCGTCTGGGCCAGTCAAACGGGAGCCGTCGGAAGAGCTGCCAAGTGCCGGTGTGCTTGTCAAGAGGATGGCAGGCGAGCTTGAATTGACCGTTCTTGCTGATCGGACACACCCGTTCATTCCTGGTCAGAAGATCGTCGTGCGCTTTCGTATGGTTGGCTGACGATTGTTCTTGTTGCTCTACTTATTCTTACTGTATTTCTGCCGTCAGTCACCCTCAAGCATTGTAAAGCAGTCATCTATGTTCTAATCCTTACAAAACTGTAGTCTGTAATATGTCGAGGCGGTCACACATCAAGTTCAGGGGTGAAAGGGAGTGCCGGTGGAGCATAGTCAGCAATTAGGGTGTGTCTATAATGTCCATGAAAGCGCAAGCTACAAGCACTTAGACTGTACCGGAGGACGTGATGGTCACTTTGCTCTTCGGCCGACCGGAGTCCGATCCGACTGCCTCTATCTTCCTGACCACATCCATACCTTCCACCACCTCACCGAATACAACGTGTCGCCCGTCGAGCCATGACGTGACGACGGTTGTAATGAAGAACTATGGATGAGGGATATTCAATTAGCAGATGTGAGAACAAGCAGGGTGCACGGTGCAGGAGGCGTACCTGCGAACCGTTGGTGTTCGGACCGGCGTTGGCCATAGAGAGGAGGCCGGGCTTGTCGTGCCGCAGTTTGAAGTTCTCGTCTGTCGAGACACAATCAGGATGGTAGAAGAACTCTCGGGAGTACGACGCACCAGCAAACTTCTCTCCGTAGATCGACTTGCCTCCCGTGCCATTATGCCGTGTAAAGTCGCCTCCTTGGATCATGAACTGACCAAGCAGCACTGAATGAGGTTTGTATCACGAACAAAGTGATAAACGCACGTTAGGAATGATTCTATGGAAGATGCTGCCAGAGTAGCCGAACCCATGCTGGCCGGTAGCTAACTCCCGGAAGTTTTTCGCCGTTCTCGGGACTATGTCGTCGTAGAGTTTGAAGACTATCCGTCCAGTTGGTTTTGAGTCAATTGCGACGTCGAACTACATGGAGACATGGTACACAACGGTAAGCGGTCAATCTGGCGGAGGCATAAGAGAACTCACGAAGACGTTAGCCCTGTTACGTAGATAAAATGTCAGAAAAAAGCGAAGTAGCATACAAAGACCTTCTACATTGGTGTCTTTGCGGCAGATGCTGAAGTGGCGAATTTACGCAAGAAAGACGCCATTTTGAAGGTACATAGACGCGGTAGACGCAGGAGAGAAAAGGCAAGTCACGGTCAATGTCATACGCGTCTGGTCACGGTCACGCACCTCGTAAGGGTTCGGTAGGTATCGCGGTCGGTGTGCGGATACTACTGGTAAGACAATCTAGCTTTATATCCTGACGGTGTGGCGTGTTGTCTAGCTTTACGCAATTACTAGTGCCACTGGAGAGACGGCAAGGCGGAGATCCTGCCGCGCTATGTGTCAGGAAAGAAGGCTCTGACGAACAACACGGAACGGGGGTGCATTCTCGTTCTCAAACCCTGCACATATGCGGAAAACGAGGTAAGGTACTTCCCATTGTTCGGAACGAAACTTACGGAGGCAAGCCAATGGAATTGCTCGTCGAATACAGGGGATGGACTGATAATGGAATAAGGTCTCGACGTTTGACCATCGGTGACGCCGGAAAAGTGGTATAGCACGGCTTGCCGGTCCAGTACACCGACTGCGTGAAGTACGATAGGCCAAAGATGTCTCAGCCATCAGCAGGTCTAGGTGCGCGACGACATCCGCGCTCACAGCCTCCGCCACTCAGCACTACTCATGCCTCGAGAACAAAACGGTACTGGCTATAGAGTGCAAGGCCTAGGCTCGCATTTGATGTAATATTCGAAGTCTACACGACAGTTCACGCATCACTGAGGATAGCGTACCTCGTGGAAGAATTCTCCGAAAGGAATGGGCTCAGAGATGTAGGTGCACGTATCACCCCCGTTGATCTTCTACCCGCGAGAATGCACCCAACCTGAGCAGGCATATTCTGATTGTGGTGGGTATACTGAACTTGGCAGATCGGCAAACCAACAATAGCCAGGCGAAATTTAAGGTTGCTTATCCTGTTATAACCGACATTGACAGCGTCCACAAGCTGTTGAACGTGTGCGAGTTGATAAGGATGGTGCCACCGTCGCACAAAGAATGAGTCGAGTAACGTGAGTCCGTTCTTCACGCACGCTCCGATAGCAATAAAACGACAACTCCCGACTGATTTCCATTGAGGATCGCAGAGCATATCCGAAAGGCCCTGTTGTCTCGGATTTCTTAAGGTTTCGATGTCATCACGTAGAGGTAGGAGCAGAGCCTAGAACAATCACACGGGTCCTGCGAGGAGCTCCCACTGGAAGATGCATATACTCAGGGTTTGGCATCGGCGCCGAACGTTAACCTTCGGAGCGCCCCAAGTCCTGGGGGCGGAAGGCCTTGAGGCGGCGGCAGAGCCACCACGCGTTCTGCACGTGGAGCCCATGCATCGGCGAAGCTCCCTCTGTCCTAGCCTTGACTTCAGAAAAGATGGATCAATGGAGGATCGCACCTTGGGACGAGTTCTCTGTGCAGCAGGCACGCTCCTAGATGGCCGCCGGAACGCGACCTCTTTCTGTATTAAACCGACTTTCAGGCTGGACTTTAGGTGAACACGATACGTCTCGCACTACTGCTGATGTAGACGCAGTGTCATGGTACGTTTACCCGCACCACATTCCGAACCATTCCGTTTGCCTTTCTCATGCAATTCACCGCTGCTGAGCAATCCATCACTATAGTCCGTCCTCATACCGCATCCGGGGATGGTTCCGCTGCGAGCATGCTCACATCCACATTCCATCGTTCCATGGTACTCTGGCCATCGCCCCAACGAGATTGTCTTCTCTCCCTATTCCGTAAGTGTGTCCCACCAAACATTGACTTTCAAAGTCCTATTGGTGCCGACAAGGTGGAATTATACCTAGTCTCAACTCAATCTTATCTACGTCCAGCTTCCTAGGCTTCTTTACCCTTCACCAGAAATATTTGCGGCGACCTCATGTTCGATATTGGTGCACTCGGATTTCTAGGTTCCAGGTAATCCTCCCTGGCGGATCCACTGCGGCTAGGCAGCGAAACCACCCTTCCGGTAATGATTACGCCTGGCTCTTTTCCCTCTGAGTACAGCGCGTGAAGGCAATGCATCCGGAGTGATGGCTTTTTATTGCAACATTTCTTCACTCGCGGTTGTAGTCTCGTCCGCGACGTGTAGCTGCATGCTCTCGAGATGTCACATCTTTCCATTCGTCTCAGGACACACTCCAAGAGTCAGGTCGCCATCGCACTCATCGGGCAGGAAGGACGACGCGATGCGGAGACATTCCCATAGCCATTTCTGTTCTTCAGGCCGATTTCTGCCGTTTGCCAAAGCCTTATTGCGCTACACCTTCAGCTTGAGATGAATAGACTGACCTCCGGGAGCCTGCTGAGCCTTCTGCCGACTTTATCTTAGTCGCCCTCGACATCGTATGGCCACTCCAACCGCCTACAAATACCCAATGGAACGTCTCTGATCCCCAGTCCTGAGAGAGTATAGACTTACATGCAGATTGGGTTTTCCACGAAGCTTTGCTGCATTGCAAGGTTTATCCTCAATGCGATATTCCACCGCTGATGTTTCCCCAATGACATCGTGGAACTACCTTTGCCTGACAGTATCCGTCCTGATTCGGAAGCACGATGCAGGAATCAATTCCAGCAGCATTGCCGATAATGCACCGGGGAAAATCATTTCGTTTAACGCGAGACATAGAATACACAACCGTAAGCGAACCAAGCATGGAGAAGATGGATTACACGGTCAGACGTGCTCAATGTCCACCTTCTCCGATTTATTTTCGTCGACGGCAGAGACAACTTTCTCTCCGACGTGGATCTCGCCACGCCGTAGTTCCTCCTCCCTAGCACGGGCATCGCGGACGTGGACTCCTGATCCGGGAACGAACAAGGGTACGCTATCAAAATACGAGTCCAATTCTTGGAGAGTGCGTAGGTCAACGTTGCTATGAACTTCGAACGTTAATGATGTGAGTGCTCACCTTCTAATGGAATGCCCTTGGTCTCTGGTAAGAAGGACTGGAAAACAATTCGAATGAGATTTTCGACCACAGTCGGAAATCAGGTCGTGGCTTACCCAGAAGAACAATGCATTGGACATCGAGCAAACAGCAAAGACAAGATAATATCTCCAGCCGACGTTGTCAAACGCAATGGGACTGACTTGGGCGATCATGACTAATGCGAGCATACATGGTGAAATACATATTAAACAACGATATGCAGAGATGAAGGGACAACGCGTACAGTTCGAGATCCATGCTGCGGAGGAAGTGATGGATGTTGCCTTAGCCCGCGTGGCGCTGTTGAACATCTCCACTGGGATAGCCCAGGACAATGGCCCTATGGCAGCCGAGAAGAACAGATTGAACTACGCCCGCTCGTCAAACAAACTGGATGTCAAGAATTCTTCTACATATAGCACTCACCAACCACGTCATAGCCACAAACGCTCTACTGGCATTGGCGTTTCCGGACCCTGCAGGATAGACTGCGATGATAATAGTACCGATGATGAACGTGATACCTGATAGTATGTTCGCCCAGACCAAGGGACCGCGGCGACCCAACCGATCGATGAATAACACGCAAAGGCCTTCGCCAATAAGTGCGACAACCGAATTGCCAGACTGGAGGCCGAGAGTTGTGGATGTATCAATGCCAATGGAGGCGTATATCTGAGGCGAATAATATTGGATGCACGAGACACCGGTCATTTGCACGCTATTCAGAGTGATATGTGACACGAAATGATGAAGAGCCGCGGAGGAATTTTACCTGAACTGCAGAGCAACCCCGAGAATCAGGCGGCGTAGATTACTTGGGTTCGTGAGCAACTGTGACCATGCATTCTGCGTGAATTGCTTCTCCAGCTCTACTTGGTGTGTGATTTCCTGGTACTCGGCAACCACGAATGTGTCATTGACGTCTCCGTGGGCATGGAGACGTGCCAGGACTTGAAGGACTTCCTGGTTGCGCCCTTTCATCGCGAGCCAACGTGGGGACTCCGGTAGGAGACTGTTGAGAACAAAGCCTAGTCAGCGAACGTCGTGATGAGGGTGGAGAACAAACTCACAGGATGAAGAGAGCAAGAGGGAGGGCGGCTGCATAGGTGGTCTTTAATGGGCGGTTTCAGAGGATCGCATCGCTGATACACTTACGAAGGATCTGTATGCCCAGTGGCACTCGCCACTGCACCGGACCAGTAGTACCGTGATACAGCCCGTAGCCGATAAATGAGGCGATGAACGCCCCAATCTGACAAGCTGAGTTAGTCATGTATGTTGTCGAGAGCTCACACGCCGAAACTTACGCCTAACATGAATTGCTGCAATGTGGTCAAGCTTCCGCGAATAGAAGGGTGTGCAATCTCCGACTGGTATAGAGGTGCAAGCATAGCAAGCATGCCGATACCCATACCAGCGAGGAATCGTCCACCATACATGTAGCTGATACTTTGTGCTCCGCATTGAAGACCTCCTCCCAAGAAGAATAGCAAGCAGCCCGCAAGGATAGCTCTGCGGCGACCAATCGCATCTGTTATAATGCTGCTTCGTCAGATACGTCGTTGGGCAACTGGAACAAATACGCGTGCCTGTCAGGGTTCCGACATAGATATTTCTTCGTGGTCGACGTTGGAGTAAATATAGCATACGATTCGTGGTATGAATAGATAGACTCACGACGCGAAGGCTCCAAGAAGAAGACAACCGGTAATGAGACCTTGCTGGGTCGCGTCAGGGTTCCCGGTCACTCTGTTGAAGTCTTCTGCGGGCTAAAGATAGCGTAAGCTTCCCGGAACAGACTGCAGTGAATGCAAGGCACTCACAAGCACAGACGCTATGATACCCAAATCGTATCCAAAGGTCACCGAGCCGAGCGCTGCGAACAGCCCACATAGCCAAGTGTAGAACTGGTGGAGGCGTAAGGATGCGACTGTCATGCTATAAAGACTAAAAGCTCACCTTTGGCGACAAACTAGACTGCGATAGACCTGGCATTATGCACTGGACAAGCGTTGCTCGCGGCGACAAACAGTAAAGGTGCACCAAACCTCGGGACCGAGAGGTCAGAATTTTATACAGCCTGCTGTCTGGCTCCGACACTTCGCGCCGATAGCAGCCTCGACATGAACATCCCGGATGTTTACCAGGCTGGTATGTGCATGCACGCCTGAGGGCATCAAATCATGCGACCACAAGACCTTACCAGCGGCCACGGATTGATATCACGCGTCTACCCCGCATTCTATAAAGAGTAAGGCGCGCGCGTTGATTGCGTCCGAACGCGGGGGTGGAGGTCGCTGGCCGGCACTGTACCCAGGAACAAAGCCCTTAATACGTTGGGTAATGATTCTAAACAATATGCGGCGGGCCGGGACCCGCGACGGTCCCCTCATCCGCTGCAGTTATTTGCCCGGGACCTCCTTGCCATTGACAAGAACGACGGAACTTACGCCATGATGCACTATCGTAATCGATGTCGGAGGTCACCGCAGTCGCGCCCCTGCACCTATATTCCCTCACGTAGTCGATAAATCCGTCCAAGGCCTCCTGCAGGGCTATCACCTCTAAGGCCATGTCCATCTCCGACAAACCCCTGCGCATCGACGTCTTCCCCTCCGCTCCTATAGCAGACGTATCGCCGTTGATCTTCTCCGGATTCATCGAGCATTTAGGGCGGTGTATCTATGGCGGGATTCTCCCTTCAACTCGGACGACATTTCCCTATACCCCGCGGAACCCATGCCCGCAGGACCAGTTCGTCGAAACACCAAAAGAGCTGTTGACCGCGGAGGGTTTCCGGAAAGATGTACTTGAGGTGATCCGGGACGAGCTGAAGGTCCCGATGATGCGCTGGCCGGGAGGCAACTACGTCAGTTCGTATCATTGGGAGGATGGTGTCGGTCCGAAAGAGCAACGGAAGCGGAGGCCGGAGCTGGCTTGGGGATTTGAGGAGAGCAACGAGTTTGGGACTGATGAGTAAGAGGCAGTCGTGGAATTTGGTCCAGACTCTGACAAGCTTGCTTCAGGTTTATCGCGTGGTGCAGGCAAGCGAGATGCGAGCCGTACATCTGCCTCAACATGGGGACTGGGACCCTTGCCGAGGCGTTACACTGGGTCGAGTACTGTAATGGTACCGGAGACACGTCAGTTGCGCGTTAGCATATTCGGCATCATCACTCACGAGTCCGCTCAGCTACTACGCCAACTTGCGGAGGAGAAATGCAGGCCGCGACGAACCTCACAACGTCAAGTACTGGGGACTGGGCAACGAAGTGTGGGGACCCTGGCAAGTCGGCCAGCAGACAGCCCCAGACTACGCCGAGAAGGCGCGTCGATGGGCCCACGCGATTAAGTTAATAGACCCTTCGGTGAAGCTCGTCGCGTGCGGGGAGACTGGCCTTGATCAGTGGGACTCCACGGTGCTCGATGTGCTGGTGGACAAGGTCGACTTGCATAGGTAAGTCGAAACGGGGCAACATGGAACAGGGGAACTTAACAGTTGGCTGCAGCATCCATTTATACACCGGGTTCGGACCCCGCGATCGGTCACAACAAGAGAAAGAGTATGGGCGGTCTGTGTATGGACCCGATGCGGCCGAATATTCCCTCGAAATCGCCCGTGGACTGATCAATAAAGCGGTGCGCCCGCTTTACTTCCCTCCTATCCCTGCCTTAGCTGAGGAGCACACCGCGGACAGAGAGTAGCCAAGCAAATCCAAAAGCCCATCAAAATCGCGTTTGACGAATGGGGCGTCTGGGACGAGACGGTGGGCACCGCCGAGAACGGGCTTGAGCAGTTCTACAACTTCGCAGACGCCCTCGCCATGGCGAGCTGGCTGAACGTATTCGTCCGACAATCCGACCTGGTCGACATCGCCTGCCTCGCCCAGAGTGTGAACGTAATTTCCCCTCTAATAACGAGGTGCGTCGTAGAGAGCGTCCTCTCTGACTGGTGGGCTGATGAGATACTAGCCCGACCGGGGTCCTAAAGCAGACGCTATACTACCCCCTCTACCTCTTCTCGAACTACATGCGGGGTGGTACCGCGGTGAAAGTGCAGATTGACTCACCGGTGTTCACGGGCGAGACCTTGCCAGCGTGGATATCGTCCATCAAGGGCCCTCCGAGACACCTTGACGTGTCGGCGGTCTTGCACGGGGGCACGTCACTCCGAATCGCGGTGGTCAACAGGAGTGAAGGCCAGAGCTACACGGTGCCACTACGTATTGCATTTGCGGTTCCACCGGAAGGCAAGGAGGTGGAGGTGCACGAGCTGTGGCATCCGGACGTGAAGGTGAGGAATGGCTGGGGCAAGGATGAAGTCACGGTTAGATCGAGCAAGAGCAGCTGGAAGTCGGAGTGGACATTCAAGGAACATTCGTTTACATTGCTTGTATTGGACATTTGATACGTGCTGCAGCAAAGGATGTAGAACATCATGGACGTGGTATCTGCAGTTTCACGTATATCCGCAAGCTTAAGGAAGACTTAAGGTACTGTACATGTAGACGGTAGAGATTTTTGTAACTCCGCGAGCCGGCTGCGTGTGACGTTGTCTGAATCACACGGTTCAGGATATCGACCACTGTATACTCCTTGAAGTCGACGATTCGAAGCACACTAGTATGCCTTCAATATCTTATACTTACGCGCACACCCTATGCGATGGATATCGGTCAGAATTTTCCAGTCAGAATGATGACGCCTTGCACCGATGTGAGCACACCCAAATCTTTGCGAGGAGACTAGGTCGACGGACGTTTTGTCAGTTTGAAAGAACTTAGACTCTTAGCAGTCTCTTGCTCAGTATAGTTTACTGTCTAGCTTCACTAGTGGATAGAGGGCGAAAGCTTACAGACAGGCGAACATGTCATATCACGTCCGTGTGACATCGCACGTCTCTGAAACCGCTGCCCACTGGCAGTGCCGGTAGTGCATGTTCCTTCAGTGCGTAGCATCACAAATCTCTCATTGTCAATGACTATTTAATGTTTCAAATCCAAAATTGATAAAGAGGATGTCGGGCATCCATGCAACAATTTGTCAAAGGGGCGTCAAAAGGAATGGCCCGGATAAGGACAGGACGCTTGCAAGGGTAAGGCTTTATGACGAGAAGAATGAAGAGCGATCGTCCTCGGCGTTGACTGATGGATACTGATGGTGCACCAGCGCCGACAGCTTGAATGATCATGAACCGTTCTCTTGATTTATGATTTGAAGGTCTTCATAAAGCATGTGGGAAGATAATCGCCGAAAGGTGAGTGGGCACATAAGAATTTATGGCACAGAACGCCATTCGACATGGAGAGGAGACACAGGACAGGTATGTTGTTAGAAGGAACGGGAAAACATGCATAGACTGATGGCACAAGACCGCCACACGAACTCACCTGGTATATGTAGCATCGCGCCTGGCAGTTCAACGTTCAGCCGTGGAGGTTCCGCCCCTTGACGCTCCTCCACTCCATAGTGAGCGCAGGGACGATCGCGAAGCACGCCCACGCGACGGCGACATAGAACGCCACGATGATGGCATCGTTGTACACCGCGAGCACGTCCCCCAGCTTTTCCGCGGGCACGACGTCCCGCAGGTTCGTCGCGCCCGAGTTGATCACAACGGCGGGGTCGAGCCCGGCGACGCGCTGCAGCCCTGAGGCAAGCCGGTTGGTGAATATGTTCTCGGCGACGGAGAGGAAGATTGCGCCGCCCAGCGACTGCGCGAAGGGCATGAGCGACACGCCCACCGAGACGTCTTGCGGCGCGAGCGTCGTCTGGGCGGCCATTCCTGGCTGCTGCATGCCCATGCCCAATCCGAACCCAAAGATCACCTGGTATCCGATCCACGAGGGGTGCGCGGTGCGTGGCGTGAACGTCGTCATGAGGCCTGTGCCAATGGACAATAGCACCGCGCAGGCGATCATGAGCGGGGTGTAGTACCCGACCTTCGCGGTGAAGACGCCGGCGAGGATGCTCGCGACGACTAGGCTGAGGATGAACGGCAAGAGCATGATGCCCGACGCGAGCGTGCTCGCGCCTTTGATTGCCTGGAACCATATCGGCAGGAAGTATAGGCACACTAGCATCGCACTGCCTATGCACATAGAGAACACGAATCCCGACAGGATGCTGCGCTGTGCGAAGACGTGCGGTGCGACGGTCGCGTTCTCCTTCTGCCGCACCTGAATCACGACGAACGCTGAGAGAAGAACCGCAAACACCACCAGGAGCGCGACGACGCGCCCGCTGCCCCACGCGTAGGTCGTGCCGCCCCACTGCAGAGCCAGCAGGAGGCAGATCATGGACGGGAGGAAGACGAGGGTGCCCAGGGGGTCCAGGCGTTTCGTTTTCTCCATCGGGCTGGCGGGCGCGCGTGGCGCGGGCGGGAGGTGCAGAATCAAGGCGATGACGACGATGGACACGGCGCCGATGGGGAGGTTGATGTAGAAGCACCAGCGCCAGCTGACGTCCTTCGTGAACGCGCCGCCGAGGAGCGGGCCGATGACGGAGGACAGGCCGAAGATGGCGCCCAGCGCGCCCTGGTACACGGACCGCTTGTCGAGGGGCACCAGGGGGACCATGATGACAATCGCGCCGGAGAAGATGCCTGCGGACCCTAGTCCCGCGATCGCGCGCCCGACGATGAGGGCTGTAGAGGTGGGTGCCGCACCGCAGACGGCGGAGCCGATCTCGAAGAGAATGATGGTCGTGAGGAACACCCATTTAATGGGGTAGAAGGTGTAGAAGCGGCCGATGAGGAGTTGGCTAGCGCAGCTGGCGATCAGGTAGGCGCTGCCGTACCAACCCACGTCGTTGAGGGAATTGAATTCATCGGTGATTTTGGGGACTGCAGTAGCTATGATAGTGCGATCCTGACAAGGTATGATACATTGACATGAGTATACATGCGTATATAATACATGATTTGATGGCAGATACATGGCATGAAGGAGACATGGAAGGAGATACGTACAAGGGCTACTAGAAACATCGCGAGGTATAGAGCGATCATGACAATGGCAACAGTCCTAGGAGGGGGGTAGGTCGTCTGAGGAGGTGCAGAAACTTGACCTTTGTCCTGCACATCCTCAGAGAGACGGGGTTCTCCATCGGCAGGAGGGTAATTCCCTCTGTCGACTGTGGACGGTGCCACTCTGCTACCCGCTGCAACGTCCCGAGACGTTGCGGGGAATTCAGACAAAGAAATATTGTCAGAAGGCTGCTTCATAGGGAACAAAGGCGAAGGAAGCGGAGGGGGATGCGGATGCAGTGAAGAGGCTGCAATCCAGTCTCTTTATACCAGTCCATCGAGTCATCCGACCATTTGTGTCGGTGCCGTCGACGTACGCAGCCCGACCGGCCGCAGCAGGAACCAAGGGGCGACGCGCGGGGAAATCCGAGAATCAACTGGCGTCGACGGGTCTCGTTGGCTGTCACGGAGTCCTGCTCTCTCATTGGATGATGAGTCGCTGAGGATGTCTACCAGCGCACGCCAATAACAATATCAGAGGGTTTGTGACATTGTAAATCAACACAACAGGGTGACATAGCATTACTAGTGCTAATTCTAAATTTCCTTAATGTTGTCGAAGGTCTATGGCCGTACTTCAAGCTGCAAGCATCCGGCGAGCAGCCAATTACAGCCTGAGCTGCTTATCCCAGTAGGACCCCGTGACCGCCAACGAGACCCGTCGACGCCAGTCGATTCTCGGATTTCCCGGCGCCCTGGGACTGAAGTTAGCAGAAACACATCCGGAGGGAGATGGACATCAGCATCTGAACTACATATCATGCTAGTTATATTCGGATGACAGATTATTCGACAACATACGACCAGCAACAGGAAGCAGGGTGACACATACAATAGCAAGAAACGTCCGAGGACTATCACCCGGTTAACTCGGTGGTCAGTGGGGGTATAGCATAAGGAGGGAAATAGTATAATATGATATCGGGGGTTGAAAGCGGGTAAAGGAAAGTCTCTTGATGCACAGTTCGAATGACCATGGGGCTCTGCTATGGACGCGAATAACCCGGGGTGGTAACGTATACGCAGCACTGAGAAGACCTAGAAAAGAAAGCAAGAAACACAGTTGAAAAGACATACGGCAGCAATCCCGCAAGGATGTGCAGCCACAGCAATTTCTAGTAGACCCACGTCAGCTCTGGACGTGGACGTCTACTCTTCCTCCTCTTCTTCCAGAACATTATGCAAAGGCGCGCCGTGGACGTAACGAGGTGGTGTCAGGTTGCCCGTGCCTTCCACATTAAGACGAGGGGGTGTGAGTATCGGATCGTTGGGTATACCGGCGTTGGGTGGCACAGCGGGCAGAGCAGCTTGCTCCTTGTTCAATTTTGCGATTGCTCCTCGCACCACCGACGGATGCCCTGACTGCTGTTCGGGACTGGAGGCCGAGGATCGTTCTCGCTCCCTATACATCTCGATAAGAGCCGCTGTCTTGCTCTTATTGGTGTCAGCAGCCGGCGGTACAACCATGGTCTCGACATGGGACGGGATGTCAGACCCTGCATCGTCGTCGTACTCCTCGACCTCGTTGTCGGGTATAACTTCAGGACTTGGTTCGTACTCCGAGGTTTCGATGGAGTAGTTCGACGACGGCGAGATGTGGGCATGGCGGTCACCATAGCCCATACCGTCGTAGGCATCGTCACCGTCCGCATAACTGTCAGTGCCTTGGGAATACCGTCCCATATTGCCACCCTCCGATGTTATCTGACTGAGAGGCCTTCTTTCTGGGTGGAGATCAAAGTAGCCCAGACGCTTCATGGGAACAGGGGGGGCATCTTCTTCCTGATCTTCCCCTGGGAAAGGCTCCCCGTGGTTCTCCGGCTCAGCAGACATCGAGACCGGCTCCATACCCTCGTCGTCTTCGTCGTCATCCGAGAATACCTTGCCCCTCACCGAGGCTAATGCCAACGCAACCTGTTCGCTCGCAAGCTCGGGATCAGACCTGCCCGCTCTGAGACTGCGTGGGCCTGTGCGCATCTCCGCTGCCTGATCACCCAGCCGTCTGCTCGAGCTAGTGATTAAAATGTCCACCCAAGCGTCGTCTTTCGACCGCCTGCGTTCTTCTTTGGCCCGACGACCAGACGTCATACTGTTCAGCTCGTCATCACTAACGGCAAATAAGCGGGTCTCAAAATCCACCGGTTTGGCCTCGGCCGGCACGAGCCCAGATTTCTTGGTGCTCGCAGGCCCACCCACTGGTAAACCACCAGGAAGTCGGAAACGGGAGCTCTTCTTCGTCGGTGTTATGGGTAATTCTCTGCCATCCTCAGTAAGACGTTTGGGTTCAGGCTCAGTTGCAGATCTGACGGGCGCTAGCTTGGGATTGGCTTGGTGATTAGGAAAATCAACATGGCCACCAGCCGACGTAGGCCTCGCAGGGTTTGGCGCGGCAGAATTCCTGACAGTACCATCCAAGGTCACGATCTTGGCGAGACTGCCATTGCCACGGAGTAAGCCTTCGAACTCGACTTCGCGAACGGTAGGACTCTTCGGTACGTGTCCAATAACATATGGTCGACCATTCAGGGTCGCAGCTGGTTTCCACTGCTTGGACTTCGATACCGGAGAGAAAAGAGATGGAAGACGACGTCGGCCACTTGAACCCAGCTGCTTTCGATACTCCCATGGAACAAACTCTTCGAACAGAAGGAGTGTGGTGGAGGTGCGAGGATCGCCAGTGCCAGACACGGTATTTGTCCTAGAGACAGGCAGTGATTTGAACTCAACCTATGGATAAGCGAAGGCAAAATGCGTTGAACGCGTCTAGCCATCGGATCATACACGACGTCAGACTCACCAATGCCCAGTTACACTCTCGATCATGCTCCTCCAGCCTTTCATTATCCATCCACCCTCCACCGTAGATGAGATCGCAAAACACGTCCAGAAACGCCTCCTCGATCACCTCTTCCGGGCCCATTACCGGCTCAGTGTCCCACCCGAACGGCGGTAGGGCCTTCTGCGTCTTCTTGAGTTTCCGGTGGATCTCGGCAGAGTGACTGGGCCACGAGTTAATCGTGTGTGTCACAGGTACGCTGAACTGTAGAGTCGTAGACAAAGGGGTATCATTGCGCGAGAAACCCGCAGTCGAGAAATCTTGCCACGTCAGAGTAGCCCGTTTGGCTGCGCGAGCCTAGTGGCAGAAGGCGTTCATATTGATAAGAAGTGAATGACCAAAGGGGAGATCGATCAACTTACTGCTCGTGCTCCCTCAGTGAGATCAAACTCGAGCTTCTTGTTGCTGCCAACTGAGTCAGCGAAACCCATTGTCTCGAATTCGCCCCATTTCAGGTCAGTTAGACTTCTGACTTCACCCTTCTTTACCTCCAGGAAATTCTCATCGTCAACCAGGGTCGAGCTTGTGGACGATACAGTAGAAGATGTACTGGGAGAGCTACTCATAGAAGATGCACCGGGTCCCGTGTGAGGATGAAAACCTGGCGGCATGTCCATCCGTTTCTTGTACCCATCTGAATAGCGCGGCGGCAGCTTGAGAGTCGGGGGAGCTATCCTCTGCCACTCCTTTGAAGTTGCCAGGGCATTTTCCCCTTGAGCGGGGATTCCACGTGGCCTTGTAGCCCAACTTGCACCCGTCTTGACGAGGTCGGGTGAGTACATCCTCACGTTCCTGCGCACGCTCACGACACGCATGGTCCGTGCACCTCGGCGAGGTTGAGGTGTCTCATCCCTACTCCTGGCGGTTTGGATAGAGGGCAGCATGGACGGATATCCTCGAATCCAGTCCTTGAGACGGGTTGGAAGCCCCATTGATGCCGCGCTGCCGCCCGCCTGGGTGGTGTTCCAGTCTTGCCAACGGATGAAGGAGAGCATCAAGTGCTCCATGGCGTTGACGGCGCGCAGATAGTGGACGTATGTGTGATGAAATGCGAGTGCTGCTGGCCCCAGTCCAAAAAATAACGGACCAAAAAGCGGGGAAAGCGTCGGTGGGGTATGGCCTGAGCTCGAAGAATGTGCAGTAAAACGAGAAAGGAGAGTGAGGAGATCAGTGATTAAGGAGCCCAAGACGGGCGTCAGCTGGCTGAGGAAGGCTTCGAAGTGCGCAGGAGGGTAGTTCAAGCCTACGTTCAGTTAGTTCATTCCTCATCCTCACAGTCGACAGGTCTCGTGGCACGTACTGGCTTCAGCGTCTCGCCATTCAGCATAGTACTCATAAGCCACCAGTCCGCGCACCTCCTGGCCTCCGTGGATGCGCACGAGCCTTGCCAGGCCCCAGCGAAGCGTCATGCCGAGCTCGTTCGGACCAGCGAATCGGACCTCGTCGCGCCATTGACGCTCAGCGTCAGCGCTCTTCGTGTTGGCGCAAGTGCGCAGGAACGCGCGGATGAGGCTTTTGATCGAGTTGAAGGAAATATCAAGCGCGAGCGCCGAGAAGATGAAGGGTGTTGTGAGGCCTCTCGTGCCCAGCTCGGCGGAGACCACGTCGACGAGCCGTGCCACCTGCTCGAGCCCCAGCACAACATGCCGCTGATAAGATAGGTAGCCGTAGTCGTGCTCCTTCGGATGCTCCTCTCCTGGCGCTGTCTCCAACCGGGGCGGGTCGAGCTCAAGCGCTAGAAAGCTGCCGTCGGGGATGCTAGAGAGCGACTCGTCGAGTTCGACCGAGTTGCGCTGCGCTGTAGAGCTCAGCGTCCGCAACCGGAAGCGGTCCTTGTCGCCACCTTTCTTCTTGGTACTCTTCCCCCCCGCAGCGACGGTGTTGATGCCACGGCCGACAACGGCCTCCCTACTACTGACCCTACCAAATTCATCGTACCCAGCACCCCCGGCGTTCGCACTCTTTGTCGGCGTCGATGCAGTCCTTGAACGAGAGAATAAACTGGGCATCTAGACGAAACAGAGAAGATATTGCGAGCGCCGAGATGGCTGCTGCCCTAGGAGTACAAGGAGAAAAACGGCAATTTCCGTTGCAATCAGGGACGAAAGTAATCAACAATAAATAATTTTTTATTATTGTGCTCAAGCCGCCGGCTGTGTATTCCTTTCCAGTGTATCGAATCTTCAATGCTCCTTCCCGCTACTTATAACATCAACACATCCCGGTTCAGACCGCTATGCTGGAATATTAGGCAGGCCAGAATGGTATGCGGTGGTTGCCAGCATAAATGCAACTGTCAGCGGAACCGGGAATGGAAGCAGATAGAGTTCAAGAAAGATGGCAACTGACAGAAGTCACAAGGCATTGAGGGAAATGAGGCAAACACGAGTCCATCATTAGCACAACGCAACGTCAGTACAGATAGTACGAATACAGAGGAAGTCAGAAAACATATGACGCTACAGCTTTCATAGAAACAAACATGGCGAAAGGTGGGCGCCTAGACCTGCTCTTTGACATCCCTGCCTGGAGGCGGACCTTGAGGCGGAGCATAAGGACCAGGAGTATAGCCACCGGGATACTGCGGGGGAGGGACGGAAGGCTGAAGAAGACAATAATCAGAACACCATGGAGACCCAGGAGCTGGACATGTCACTCACAGGAGCGAACCCAGCCGACGGGTCATACGCGCCATTGTTATGGGCTGGAGGGGGATACTGAGGTCCTCCAGGAGGCGGGTACCCACCGTAAGCTCCATAGTTTGACGCTTGGTACGGAGGAGCTTGGGGCCCGTTGACATACGCCATGTTCGCTCGTTGCGCCCGCCGCCTGCGGCCGAACTCTAGCAGACCAAGGAAAACAAGAAAAGCGACAGCTGAACCAGGTATGAGATATGGTTCGAAGACACGAAGAGAGATCAGACACACCTATGATGACTCCGATCGCGACACGAACGCCCGGTGAATACGCAGAGCAGCGCTCAAATCCATTGCTGTCAGGAGTGAACGCAATCAGTCACATTGACAGCTACCCATAGCGGTCGTGAATAAACTCACTCGTCTCGATAGCAATATTCAGCCCTCACTGAGGGTAGAGCGGCCAAGGCGACAAGCGCCATCGCATTGAGCTTAGTGTGTGTACCTGGGACAAGATATGCATATCAGCAACACGTCAGAACAAAGTGCCCGTAAAAGTCGACGTGCCAGTCATGATTATAGAGGAGTATAGAGAGGATAGTGGTTGTTAAAGTGAAACCTTTGTCGTTGCGCTGCACAGCAGCAAGTGCCTGGCCAAGCAGTGGAGGGCCGAGTCTCATTAGGTCATCTTCCCCAGCGTGGCTGTACGGACCCGCGGCAAGCCCGGAATGGGCCGGCAATCGGCTATCGTGGTCCCGGTTGGTACTGTAGTCTGCCAGGCAGGCTACCACAGGCCACACACAACCTGGAGATTGCTGACAGGAGTGCTTATCACAGGTGTATTGCTGACAGGCTAATATGATGATGTAGTAAATCTCAAGGATCAGCATATATTCTGTCTGTCTTCAAAGCTGGCAGCAGCGTACCAGCACTGTCACATGTAAGACCAAGGCTCGGAAAGTGTCTTTTGATGCTCAGGAACCTAGAGGCCACTTCAGCTCAGTGCCATCCCCTACGGGTAACTGATTGAATTTTGCAGCAAATGGATCTTTGTCATCTTGAAGCTAGACAATGACAAGCCGATTTACTATGTATCAGTTCTTCAAACATTGGCAACAGATTCACCAAGAGCTATATTCATACTGCTGTTTGAATTGGTGTGTGGCCATCAGCCTGATTGTATAAATCTCCCACTATTGATATATTAGCTGAAACCATCACCTACACAAGGTCTTTATACATTGAGGAGATGGACTAAGAGCCATTAGTGACCTCTGTGTGTGTTGTGGACAAACACATTCTGACCCTCGTGCAAACATACACATCACACATCTGTTCCTCATATAATCCCTTACCGCCCCCCGTGCACACCCTTGCCTGTTGCATGACTGTTTTGTGTCTCCTCCCATATGTTTATATCCAATATCGCCAAACACTAGTACTTGATCTCTACTCCTTGTAGACACCGGCTCTGCGCCAAGTCTTACGTGTTAAGCATGAGGAGCTTGCAACCATGTATGAGTAGGCATCAGCAGTGCAGACCATCGGTCGATATCTTGGCAGCCTGTAATAGTAAGAATGGAGAAACCCTCATGCTGTTCTTGAATGAGATGTATAGGTCTCGCCGAGTGGACAAAGAACATACGGTTACCCCTTCCCGATATTCGGCGCTTCGCTTCCGCTCCCACACCGTGGATCTGACAAGATGCGGAAGAAAGGCAGCGGGCAAGCAAATCGGATGTCAGACACCGAGCACGTGCTAAGGGAATCATTTGACATGCACGGGAGACAGGATGAATGGCCACCGGCTAGAGAGTACGATACTGCTCCGCTAAACGAGCATCCAGACTGAGCGCCCTTGGTAATAAGAGAGGACTAGAGTCCTGCTGCGCCGGGGAACCAACACCACTTTCCGTTCATATACAACAGCATGGGATCATTGGCAAACCTATCGCCCGGCGAATGTCAGCCAACGGCACTGGCAGCGTTGTGGCACTCACCAGGATATCACTTGAACCTCCATCGTCTCGCCGCCTGGGATAATTGTCTCTTCAAGGGTAATCGTATTCACAAGTCTTGAGTCTGGTAAAGCGTCCGGGATATGCAAGAACGTAGCATATGTATCAGGATGTGAGCGGTCACTGTTCCTGCATCCAAGGTCCACGCATCTACACAGCCGATTATTCCTGTGAGAAGATCAGAGAATTCAAGATCATTCAATTTGCCCTGGTCTCACCAGCTGGGAGAAGCCCAGTAGAGATAAGGGATATTTCCAGCACCTGGGGGCACGCAAACAGTGAGGATATAAATCTGATGGCCTGTTCCGCTCCTCAGTAGACGTTCCTGTTCCTGAAAATCCCTCTCATAGACGACATCATAATACTCGTTGACTAGGAAACAATATGGAAGAGGAGTTCCATATGCGTGCTTCAGGGAGAAGCAGGCCAAGTATTGTCTCTGTCCATCATCGTCCAATGCACCTATGATGGGTGCGTAGGAGCGTGACAGCGACGGCTCCTTTAAATCAGATACGGACGCCCACCTCAATGAACGCAAGTCACCGACCAAGCGCTCATACGCTGTGTAGTCATGCGAGTTTTGTCGATCGCGCTGCGTACTCTTGATTAGCAGGAGGGTGATATTACGAACTACTCGTACCGGCGTACTAATCTGGGGTAGAACCCGACGGCTCGAGTTTGCACACTACGGTAGAAGCGCGAACCAATATGTGTTCTGCCTTCGTCGTTCGGATATCCGTGGGCAGCATCCTGGATTTTGGATTCCAGTTGCAGCTTCACAACGCTGGGTTCATAGCGGGAAGAGGCAAGTCTGTCCAAAACCTTGGAAACACGATCAAACTCCCGTCCCGATAAGCCGTGTCTTGCGTGACGAAGTGACCCGAGTAGTGCTTCGTAATAGTCTTTGTCCTTGCGACATATGACAAGCACCTCCTCTGGCACGTCCTCAAACCTAGACGCAGCAGGGATAGGGATATATAAATCTCGCAGACGTTCGAAGAGAATACGTACCCTGTAAGCAGTCCGGTAACCCTCTCACACAGTCCCTGTAGGAACTCATTGCTTACCTTCGCCGGGAACCCGAGTGGACAGTACTCCCTTGCTCCGAGCGCGATGACACGCCGTTCGTACAGGAATCGCGCAAAGACGCGATATACCGGGGATCGGACAGTGTCGAATATGCCGGGGAGGGGAGCAGGTGGCCGCACCGATTCGGCCTTGTTCGCTAGGTTCAGCAGTTGCCTCTCCAGCGTAACTGTCAATGAGCACGGGGTCCTCATGGTGCCGAGCTGCAGGTCCAGCGCATCCCGAAGCCGCATACGACGTCGCCTCTTCTGACCACCACTCATCGAGAGATCAGCGCATGCCGTCCCTTCAGAAATTGTACGGTATACGTACTCCGTGTTACCAGCTCTGGCCAGAACGACCTCGCATACCGGCAGCCACACACTCTCCCAGATCCAGGGGCTGGCGCCGACGGACATGTCGTCCCGGCCGATGCTCCCGAGGACGCTGTTGATGATGCGGAGCATCAGCGCCCGGCGCACGAGATCTTTCTCTGCGATCGCCGTCCACAGCCACTGCCGCATGTTGACGGCAGATATGAAGGAGTGGGGGGACGAGGTGAGGACCCAGTGTAGCCAGAACGGACCGGGCTGTCTAGTGAATGATTTGATTATTGGGAGAGCGGGGAGGTGAGAATTGTACGCGGCTTCGCTGGAGAACGTGGCGGAAGTGAACGATGCGAGGTAGGGTAATAGTCGATCAGACAGCAGCGCCTGGTCCAGCTTGTCTTCGCACGTCACCTCGATAGCTGAGTAATCTTGAATCATGGCTAACATCTTCGCGTTGGCAGTGGATACGAGCGCGCGCCTGGAGCTGGCGAGCAGTCTATCCTCGGTATCTTGAAGGTACCCAAGAGATGAGAGACGGCCAATGAGTGCCTTCAAGTGCTGCTGGAGACCTCGCTGATCAAATACTGTCGCTGCTTCAGGTATGAATGTTAGCAATGCTTCGATGTAGGCCATGGCAAATGCTTTGGAAGAGAGGTTATCCTGTCTTTTGCGATAAACAATCAATGAGATGGACCTTGAGACGAGCAGGTTAAGACACTTCACTTCAAGCACTGAATCAGCTTTCTGCAGTCCTTTGCCAGACCCCTATCAGACCCATTAGCAGTCCCTTCAGTCAGTATTGAAAGCAGGATGATTCCGTCCAGAGCCGCTATTGCACTAACGCGGCTATGCTGAAGACTGTCGAGGGTGCGAGCGAACTCCACGCAAGCTGGACATCTCCAATTATTGGATTTACACCAGCATTGCTTCACATAGTCTCCCAGAAAGCGTCGGAGCAGGTGAATCATAACTCCGTCTGGACCGACCCCAATCCGAGTGAGAGCACTCGTGGCAATGTTCTCGACGACCTTGCCCATCGAGGTATACAGCTTGTCCAATGTCCGTCCAAGCCCAGGATGGTCCGAGGCCGTGGAAGAACTAGCAGTCTCAAATTCCACATCATTCGCTCGAAGAGCATCCACGGCAGAGCTCTCCAGGTCGTAATAAGTCTGCTGCAAGGAGGAATGAGTCTGGGGTTTCTGCTTCCTTATCTTGAGCCGGTTGAAGGCAGTCGCTAAGACTCCATCAAGTGCGCCACCAAGCGCATTGAGAGGGACGTCCAGAGTCCGTCCAAGTCCAGGGAGACCGGATGCCGTGGAAGTACTGGCTGTTTCGAACTGTACATCGTTGTCCTGGAGGATGTGGAGGGCATCCTCCGTCAGCGCATAGGAGTTGTGGTGAGGTACACGATGGTACTGCATTGTATCTATATTGTTAGCGCTGCGGTATGCTTCGATGCAAAGTAGCGTTTTAGGATGCAAACAGAGGCTCCGCCGAGGGGAACTCGATTGTGTGGCGGTGGCTGGAGGCCACAGCACAGCCACATTTGATCGTATCTCGTCGCGCCATGGACGAAGTCTTTGGCATTGATCAATAGCTATGCTGGATCAGCTCAGGATAAGGATGTGACTGGCGGATAGAACAAGGCACATGATCGTCACAATCCGGATCCGAGGACAATGCCACTCACTGTGCCAGTGACTCAACCCACACTTACAAAGGGCCCAAGGGTAGGTATAACTCCAATCCCACAAGCACGAAGATACATCCATCTCAGAGCTGCTTCTCATGCCGAACACATCCAAAGCCACCAGATATGTCGCGATCGAAACTCGTCGGCTCATCTTGCGCACGCCCACTCTCTCCGATGCCCCTGCATACGCCGCATTGTTCAGCAACCCACTCAACTACGAGCACGAGCCACACAAACCGAGCAACCCATCCGTAGAGCACTACGAGCGGGTCCTCTCGTCGTTCATCGAGGGAACACACAAGAGGAAGAGCGCTGTACTCACTATTTGTTTGAAGGATGGGGAGGAGATCATCGGCACGGGCGGGTTCAACTCCATATTTACTCGGAAGCCAGGGAACGTACGAATTGGAGATGCTGGGTTCATGATCGATAGTGCGCACTGGCGGAAGGGTTACGCGAAGGAGGCCGTCGCAGCCATGCTCGACTGGGCCTTTATTCCTAGCAGTCTGGCTCGCCGTGGTCAACCTGCCATCGACGTCGTGGTCTTTGAATCCCTGGCCGCCAATGACCGCATCAAAGGCTTACTCTCGGGCTGCTTTGGTTTCCAAGCAACTCTTCGAGACGGAGGCTTTGGTGCCGAACAAGTCTGGGAGATCACGCGGGCCGACTGGCTGAAAAGGAGCACGATGATGGGGTTGCCTGACGGGGATATTCCATTCCCTGCAAGCTTAAGACCTGGTCTGTAATGTACACCTTCCATTATGCTATGCCTGTTCACCTAGGTTGCCAGATCCACAAGCCGCAGGCACGTAAGCGCTCTCCGACCTGCCCATACGCCAACCAGCAGCCTTTCTGCACGAGCTTGTCCAGGTGTCGCTAAAATGAAGGGGTATGATGTGGGTCGAGCAACGCTACGGCAGCACAATTTCATACGCAGACGAAGGATGTATCATATCAGACGGTTGTTGACTTACCTACCGGATGCCACAGTAAAATATCCCTGCCTGGGATCTAATCCATGGCGCCCGATATTAAATATCCGTTGTCCTTAACCACAGGGTTGCTAGAAGGCCAGTCTGCCGCGGGGTAATAGTATAGTATTTGTGGCTCTGTCATGAATGGCTTATAGAATTCAGCGATCCGCACGAAGCACACCTAACTTGGAATTCAGAGTTGTCTGCTGCCAATTGCAGCAGCGCTCGTTCCAACGTGCACATGCAGAACATCGTAACAATGGCATTCGCAACAGTCATAAAACATACATACAGTAAGACTACTGATACAAGTAGTATACACCGGACCAAACCAAAGAAACCGGGGCGTCTGACCTAAAAAAGAACGTCACAACACAAGCAGTACTGCCGGGGCAAGCTCAGCGTTTCTCTCTCTACTGCCTGTCGAAGATCTGAGGATGCCTGGCAACCCAGCTCCGCGCGCGTTTGCCGTAGACGTACATCGGGATTGTGGTCAAGATGCAGAACGCGGCGAGGCCCGCGAGGATACCGAAGGCTATTCATAATTAGGTCAATCTTCGCTGGACGGGAAGCACTGCTCATAAGATGACTGCGTACTGTGCAAGATTCCCATTTTCGTCACCCACGCGACTGAAAACTGGGTGAACCCGTACAGGATGACGTTCTATTCCAGAGCGGTCAGTACAGGGACCTTGGAGTATGGACGATGAGGAAAATACCTTGATGAAGTTGATCAGGGCGAAACACTCCGGGGAGTGCTTCGTGTGCACGTCGATCACGTACGTCTAGCATTCAAGAGGATAAGCTCCCACCGAGATATTAAAAATAAGAAGACGTTGCGACATACCACAATCGCCGTCGAACCGATTCCTTGGCCGGCGTTGATCAAACTGTACATAATGACCGGTCCTACGTAGCCTCAGCACCACGTAACGGACCATAGAACGAAGGAACTCACCAATCCAGTGCACACCGGCGCTCTGCATCGCGGCCCACCCCGCAAAGCCCACCACCTCCAGAATGAGCATGAAGAACATGATGTACAGCCTGCTCTCCGGCTCGTAAATGCCTAGACAATCATCATCAGTCGACGTTGACGGTCGAGCAGAGGTAAGACGCACCGTTATTCCGCTTCGCGAACCAGGTAGCGGAGTAATCACATAGCGGGCCGGCCAAGAAGGCCGTGATGATCCCTGCCACGAGCGGGCCGATGGAGACCAGTCCGGTTTGGGAGGCGTCGAAGTTGTAGGGCGGGGCGGAGAAGACCACGGAGGAGATAACGGAGAGGACGACGAGCCAGCATGTTGTTAGACTAGGTCATGGACGGCGAGGTTAGTACCTAGGCAAGCGGACGATCGAGAGGAATGACGTACCCGTATCTGCAGGATAGAGGGGGAAGGAAAGTAGGATGGTCAGAACGTATGTGCGAAAACGGATAGGAAAGGATGCTGACGAGAATATCGCGAACCAAATGATGGGCGACAACTATATCCAGGATCAATAACACTTCGTCCTCGCATCGGACCATTGACTCACCAAGAACGGGAATGGTCGGAAGAACACTTGCAGGAAGCTGACTTTGCTGACATACTACCATAAACCATCAGCACACCTCAATCTAACCAAGCCGGAAAATGCGCGTACCCCAGACCAGGGCGCGAGTTCCTGCACGAACGTCTTGGGCGGGAGGTGATTCCCCTTCGGCGCCTGTTCGACGCTCGGGATATGCTCCACGTACTCCTTCTCAGTATCCCCCACATTTTCGACTTTCTCGCTGGCTGGGGTGGCAGTCTCCGTGGCTCCTTCGGCACGGCGGTCGTACTATGTGAGCAGTAAGTGTTTGGTCCCCTAGCACAGGCCAGGAACAGTTTAACGTACGTTCGTCTCGGGAACAAAGAGAATTACGGCCGCGAGAGCTATGCCGAAGAAGATGGTGATAATCCAGAAACACCACCGCCAGCCGAGCGACTTGGACTCGATCATATAGCCGTTCACTGTACGTCCCCATCAGTTTCGTCAGGTAGACGGACAACAAAAGGATATCACATACCAATGGGTGCTAATTACACGGGCGATAACACGAGTAATCGTCAATCTGATGGAAGGGCATAGTCGAAGCGGCGTGAGATACGAACCAACATTGATGCCTATTGGGTAGAACGAGTGAGCCGAAGATTCGCCTATGGACTCCCGTGCGAAGGAGACTTACCACCGAGGATGGCCAAGCCTGATCGCACGTTTGAAGTTATTTCAAGTAGGATCGGGATCAGCGTGGGTGTTAGAGAGATTGCAGGGGCGATAAGGCGCAGAATAAAAATTCAGGGAAGAGAAAGAAGGTAGACAAGCCGTGAGTTAGAGCTATACAGATCATATGGAAGCTAACACGTACCCCAAACCGCGACGCGGAACCCACGCTGGTGGACAAAGTAGATGTCTACCATCCCATTTAGCTTATCTTTGGCATCGAGGGGTCAGCTATTGATTACCTCCAATGGTAGCAGTGACCAGCGCCTCGAAGCTCGCCATCCCAAAGCCCTGGAACACCCTGCTCGCAACAAAGCTCTGCAGACTGTTTGATACCGCGCTCCAGATTGAACATGTGAAGAGCAGCAGCGCCGAGAGCAGAAAGACAGGACGCCGGCCAAACTTGACTGCAAAAGGTGCCATGACCATCATGATACACCCAAGGGCGATAACCAGGTCACCGTTCCTGCACAACTAGTATGAGCATGATTCGCGGGAAGAAATCCCGGGACGTACGAAGCGGCAACATCGTTTGTCGAGACGCCCCATTCCAGAGCAATGGTTGCGTAACCTGGAGCCAGGAGCGGGCCGCATGCTCCTCTGTTTGAAGCATAATCAGAATCATCGCGTAAGTGGAACTTAAGATTAAGCCACTGACACCAAACCGGCCATGTAGCATATCGACCAGAATAAAATCTCCTTTTTCCACGTGGGCCAGTTGAGCGGGTCCTAAAGGTAGGTGCTTTCAGATAGGAACAACGAAGACATAGGAACACCGGTGCTTACTCGTGGATCGTCGGAAGGTTGTGGGACAAGAATGACATGTGAATCGCGACCCGTGCCCTTCTTTAGGTTCGTGGCGGCTGCGATAGGGACGCCGTACTTGTTGTGCTTGAGCTCCTCGAGCCTTGCCGTGCCGGGCACCTGTGCGAGTCAATCGAATTCAGTGCCGAGTAGATGAGAACAGCGCTATAGAAAGAGGTTCGAAGGAAAGACACCTACGTGCTCAAGGTGGCGGTCTTCGAGAACGCCCAATGCCATCGCAAGTACTGGAAGGTGAACGAGTCCCAGTGCGAGTCCAACGAAGGAGACCCGACGAAGAAACGAGACCCGCCATCAATTTCTCTCTTTTATACCGTTCGTCGGGCGGACGTCCTCAGGTCTAGTGCCTCAGCCAATAATCTGCGGCAGAAAGCGATTTGGTTTGGTTCCGGCTCGACGATTTATCCTTCCCCACGGGGCACTCAGGGGAACCCGAAGTGCGGGGAGGAGCCAATCACAACGATCGCCTGCCGTCCGACCAATCGCACTTGGCTTCTTTCTCGTGACTGGCTCAATTGCAACAGGGCTGCAGACTGATTTCATGAGGGTGCCCACGGGACCTACGCGAGATACGTTCAGGCTGAAGTGTCCTCGTCGGCGCGCGCAGCGGGCAGCCATTTAGTTCGATTCCTTGACGGCGTCGGCGACGTCCCTCATTAACGGCGGAACCCAGTTTTTGACGAAGATGTCTGTCTATGCCACGATTGGGAAGCTGCTGCTGCAGACGCTCGGCGTAGTCTGCGTCGCGCTGCTAACCTCGGTCATCACGCAAGAGGTGAGGCGCCCGAAGAACATGCCCCCAACGCCGGGCAACAAGCGCCCCTTACCTTTTATCGGGAACAAGCTCGAGATTCCAAAGGAGAAGAGTTGGATTGCATTTAGGAAGTGGAATGAAGAGTACGGACCGATTCTGACCGTGTGGAATGGGACGACCCCCACGATTTTGATTGGGGATCCCGAGGTGCGTCGTGAACTAGGGTTAGGGATGAGATTCTGACATACAGTAGATTGCAGTCGAATTGATGGAGAAGAGGAGCACCAAGTATAGCTCCAGGCCTAGGTTTGTTGTCGCTGGCGATTTGCTAACGGAAAGTATGTACATAATATTCTACTCCGCGACCGGCATTGATTATGGGCATTTTCATAGATCGAACCATCTTGTTTGCACCATATGGTGAACGCTGGCGGGCGTACCGCAAGGCATTACATCTTGCCACGATGCCGAAGAGTGTAGATAGTGCGTACATAATATCTCTTCTACGCCGCACCTTTTCCAATCCCTATTCTAGCCTACCGGCCGATAATGGAAATGGAAGGCAAAGTTTTGGCCAACGACATCCTCACGAACCCGAGCAACTGGTACGATCTGGTAAGCTTATTCTTTTCCTCCAATCCTTCCTTCCTGAACTTGAATAACACGAATCTCAGATCTACAGGTACGCTCTCCAGGACGACCCTAGCTAGCATGGAAAAGGCGGGCCAACTGACATATCCCGTTGAACCCCAGGTACACCGCCTCCTCCGTAGTAGCGATTGCGTACGGGCGCAGGGTGCTCGACATCCATACCGATAGCGCCTACCAGAAGCTCGCGCGCAACATCGACTTCCTCACGAGCATTAACGTCCCCGGCGCGCAATGGCACGAGACGTTCCCCGCACTGCGCTTCCTACCGTCGTTCTTGAACCCGATCAAGAAGGCGGCGATCGGGTTTAGGGAACAAGGCCGCCAGAACCTACGCTCGCTTGTGGAGGAGGTGCGCAAGAAGATGCAGCAGGGCGTCGCGCCGCACAGGTATCTTGTCTCTCCCCTGTGCCTTGCCCTCAGTCCCCAGTCTAATTATTGGCCCTGTAGTTATGCGAAGCTTCTGATCGAGAATCGCGACAAGTATGCGGATCTCGACGAGGTCGAGTTCAACGGCCAGCCGGGTTCACTATTCGGCGCGGGGGTAGACACAACCTCCGCCACCCTGCAAAGTTTGGTCCTCGCGCTCGTGCTACACCCAGAGGTGCAGAGGAAGGCCCACGAGGAGCTCGACCGCCACGTCGGGTCGCACAGGAGCCCGACCTGGGACGACGAGGACCAGTTGGTGTACGTTCAGGTATGAGCGACTGTCGGTATCTACGCACCTCAGCGGATCTAATATCAGTGCGGTGACGTAGGCGATAATCAAGGAAATTGTAGGCAACCTCACCGGTCAATGCTCCGTTGGAACGGGGGGCTTACACTTGGTGTAGTTGCGCTGGAGACCGGTGGCCATTTTGGGCGGCACCCCTCACGCCTCCACCGAAGATGACATTTTCGAGTGGGAGGGCAAGCAGTACTTCATCCCGAAGGGCGCTATCATGTTCGTCATCCCATCAACCCTTATGTCTGTTATATCCACGCTGACTGGTCTTCGCTGTAGCTTAGGAAACCTATGGAGCATACACATGAATCCGAAGACGTACGAGAGCCCCGAGGAATTCAGGGTGAGCTATGCTTGTGCTCTGTAAGTGTCTGGGTGTCGCTGACATCGCGAAGCCGGAGCGATTCTTGGGTGACCGTCAATACCCGGGTACGGGAGGCAAGGGCCACTCGTAAGTCGTACATCCCTGCGCTACATCCAAACACCAATCTCATTCCTACGTTGCACAGATCGTTCGGCTGGGGTCGCCGGTAAGCAAAGCATCTCTCTGGGACTCGAACCGTGACAGCGTTTACGAGTCCGCTCATAGTGTTTGCCCCGGCGCGTACTTTGCCGAACGCTGTAAGTCAACGATGACTACACTTCGGATTTTACGTTGACGTTCGCCTTCCATCGCCCCTGTAGCGCTGTATCTGACCGCAACCCGCCTCCTCTGGGCGTTTAACTTCTCCAAGGCTACTAACCCTATAACCGGAAATGAGATCACGCCGGATGCGAGCATGGAGAAGGGCTACACAAGTGGCTTTAACACTCGCCCGCATCCCTTCCCGTGCAAGATCGAAGTGAGTAGAAAAATGGGCAGCACAATCAAGAGTGTCGCTGACTTGACATCATGACGATAGGTTAGGAACGACGCTATTCGGGAGACCGTGGAGCGGGAGGCAAAGGAGGCTTTAGAAGATTTAAGGGTCTTCGAGAATTACTATGACTAGATGGAGGTTACAGTCGTTCATATCAGCTGTGGTACGTTGATGTTTATCTTGACTGCTAGTGCAAATTGTCAGAGTACCTGAGAGTGGCTGATATTCTCATAGATGGATGTACGTTGCGTCTTGTATACTATTCCCCGGTATCCTAGGTCATATACACTTCGTTTCCGCGATGCTATATGGGAGTACCCAGATGCTCAGGTCGGTGCTATACTTTGCAGCGAAGACTGATATGTCCTCGCCTCTGGTAAATAAAAAAATCACTCGCGTCACGCTAGGGTGGCTGTACCACTATCGCGCCAGCGGCACCGAGACATTCCCAGCGGTAGGTTAGGAGTGCGTGCCTCACGCGCATAATCTGTGCTTCCATCCGTCCCAGCTGATCGATTCCTGCGATGCTCGGTTTCTGTGGAGTTGCTGGACAGAGCGTATAGTGAGCACAAGTGCGTATTGTGTAGCCTGCTTGATCCTATTACCCGTCTTAGCCCTCCCGCAGGTCGCGATCCTTCGGAGTACCTTTGTCGCAGTCGAACCCGTGAACACTCGTAAAGCCCTCCGTGCAAAATGCTTTATCTGATTATCCGTACGGATGCCGTCCTTCAATGGAAGACTTCGGTCGCTGCACAACTCGTGAACATCTGTCTCTCGGACGTTTTTGCCAGAATGCGACTGCATCATGCTCTCCTGCCAATAGCAGCGACGCTCGGAGTCTCTTCGTCGCACTGTTTTATCCAGCGAAGATCCTAACGCCCCCCTAGGATAGAGGGCAATGCAAGTCAGCTTATGGCTAAAGGGTCAGGCGAGATACTCATATTAGTAGGTTTGTTTTCTTCCAAGCCTGCAGTACGTTTGTACTGACGCTGTCTTGCACACTGCAAGTTCAATGTGAAGTATATGTCCGGGCGCGAGACGGCCCGCCCTATTTGCGCACCATTAGGGATTCATGGGAGTAAATCGTTGCAGCGAGATTCTTCCCCTTTTACCACTCACACGTACACCACCCCTTTGCTCGACACTTGGGAAGTTTCAGCGGTCCGGAACCGAAAGAATATGCCACGCCGGCCCAAAGCTTGCAGTGATGCTCTCATCTCCTTACGATACATGAGGGAAGTACTTGTGATGTGGGTTAGAACAACTATCGTGTCTCGCGACATCGCGTCGGGTATCCTGATAAGATGAATCCTGCTAACAGGATTGGTTGGTGATAGAAGTACCACCACAGCAAAGGTTGTTCGAATGGGAAGCGCCCAGCACCCGTGCGAGCCCTGAGCAGGGTCACACCCCTCCGTTCTCGTGACTTCACGCATCAATCTCCCATCTTCTGCAGGTACAGCCAGTTCGCAGTCGCAGCCTACAATGCCACGAGGATGCCCCACTCGAGCTTCCCAACCTACCCGTTTCCACGAACCATAAAGTCAGAAGGTAACTAGCGGGACTTCTGGTCTATATGGGTGCCGCACTATAAGAACTGCAGCGGATGGCGAGACACGTAGCCGGTTCCGCACCTCTTCGGCACTCCAATATGGCGCTAGGAGTTTTAGAAGACCGCCACCTGGAGCATGTAAGTCGAACCTGACACCCACGAAGCAACGCTCACGTATCGACCGATTGTACCAAGGTCCCCGGCACAGCTCTTTTAGAAGAGCTGCAGAAGGTATCTGGAGGTGTTGCGAAGAAAGGCACAGGTCGCTCTGCACACATCATTCTTGTCCCGCAGCCGTCGGACGACCCACGAGTAAGTGGATAACAGACCATTCCAGTGTACGAATCTCAAACCAGGTGTTATTTAGGACCCTTTGAATTGGCCGAAATGGAAGAAAGAAGCTTGCTTCTGGTCAATCTGCTACGGTGCAGGATTAGTGTAAGGGCGTTGTACTCGTTGAGCTTTCACAAAGAGTTAACCAAATCTCTCGCTGCGGTATAGGGGTGCGGTCGGCCCGCTTCTGGCTCCCGGTTACGTCCTTCTGGGCCAACAGTGGGGCGTCAGCGCGAATACTGCAGCTGCCACGTGAGTCGTCGTGCGTATTTTGAAAGGATGCTCTACGAACCTGCCGCAGAAATGGCGACACGATTCTAGCCTTGGGTTGTTTCATGATGCTGCAGGCACCAATCGCTGTGAAATATGGGAGGCGTCCCGTCTTCCTACTATCGATGCTGATTCTTTTCACGTGTTCTATCTGGTCGGCTGTCTCGCAAGGCCTTCCGTCGTTTCTGGCATCCCGTGTGTTCCAAGGATGCGGCATGGTAGGATTCTTCTCTTCTTGCCAGAGTAAGCGTTCTCAATCTCTGTGATGCAGGCAGCGTATGAATCTCTAGTAACCGCGACGATAGGCGGTACGTTGTCGAGTGACAGAGCGCTGTCGCTAGTCTGAAACACGCGCAGATATATTTTTTGTTCACCAACGTGGTTTTCGAGTGGCGATATGGGGTATGTCATTTCCCGGGTGCCTTCGGTCTCATCCAATCTAACTTGTCAGGCAGGACTGGCCATTAGCTTGGGTAAGCCTCTCGGAGAGATATGGGCAAACCTCGGCTGATCCCCTTGTTCACAGGAATCAGCATTGGTACGTCGAGGAAGAATTGCCCTTCTACTACGCGTCAATCACCTTACCCACCCCCTACTGTCTCTCCACAGCTCCCATCGGTGAGTGCGTCGGTCAGATTTCCCCCCATCCCTCTTAACCATACGTATGCAGCGAACGGTTATGTCATCGCTTCTGACACCCTCGGCTGGCGCTGGTGCTTCTGGCTAATAACCATCTTCCACGGAATCGGCCTATTGTTGATATTCTTCTTCGTCCCAGAGACTGCGGTATGTCTCACCCTGTCCGATCGTACCACGCCTAACTGCTTCCAGTATGATCGCAAATCCCCTGGAGTCGTAGAGACAAGCTCCATCGCAGGGTCCGACGAGAAAACTCCAGAGCAATCGTCCGAAAAGGATCCGGTATCGGTGACGGATGTCGAGGCTGTAGTGGATTGCAGAAGCCAGCAGTATCTTCCCGCCAAGTCATTCTTGACTGAGCTGAAGCTATGGTCTGGTGTACGTCCGCGACGCATTGCTTCTGCGATTTGGGGCTGATGTTTTTCTCAGTACGTGAGCAATGTCAGCATGTTCGAAGTGTTTTTCCGCCCTTTCCCGTTCATTGTAAGTTGGCCATCGCTGACCCGTATCCACCTACTTATGCGAAATAAACAGCTCTCGCCGGTCATCTGGTTCACCATCTTCTCGTGAGTCATAGTTCCTCCACTGGTGATGATGACAATGCTTGAGACCTCCCTTTGTATAGCTACGGGTACGTTCAGTGAAATATATCGTCAGTATCCCTGATTGACAACCCTCAGCTTGACAACGTGCTGGCTCGTCATCTTATCAGCAGTGTCCAGCGTTGTCTTCGGCGGTCCACCTTACAACTTCAACACTTCCCAGGTCGGACTGGTATCGATCGGTCCCCTGGTTGCGGGACTCATCACCACCTTCATCGCCGGGCCTCTGACCGATTATTCGTCCACCTGGTTCGCCAAACATAACAAAGGCATTTATGAGCCTGAGTCCAGGATGTATGTGATGATCTTTATGTTGATCCTGGAAGTGGCTGGGTACGCGTTCTGGGCTTTGATGCAGAGCAAGAACGTGCACTGGATCGGTGAGTTTCCATTGCCCAGGCCCCGAACCTTGACATGAAGCATACTTTCTCCGTAGGACCGGTGATCATGTACAGCATTATTAACGCAGGACAAGGCATTGGGTCCACCGCTATTGTCGTACGTCTGGCATCTATCTTCCGAGGCGTCTTCGTCTGAGAGCACGGCGATACTGCAGACATATGTCATCGACGTTCACAGAAAGCATTCGCCCGAGTGTTTCGCATTGATAAACTTTATCAAGGTAAGCTTTCTTCCGTTCCAGGCCGTCCACATCCAAATGGACTCTTCGCAGAACTTGATTCTTTACGGCTTCTCTCAATTCTCAGTTGAATGGGTACAGAACATGGGCGTGCTACACAGTACGTCCTCGGACTTGAGAGCATGATTGCAGTTGCTGACATATACAACGTCCAGCATTCGGGATCCTGGCAGGGCTCACAGCCATCTGGTAAGTGCCGGCTCTTCGTGTGTTCGCGATAAGAGTTCATCAGCGGCTCTGTAGTGTGTTGACGGCTGTTCCAATGTACATCTACGGAAAGAGATGTCGTAGCTGGATTTCCAGGCACCCGGCTATCTTCGACAGGGAGTAGGAGAACGTCGCGAAGTTGCTCCACGTGGTATCATGACCGGTCTTGTACGATTTGTAAGATCTTAGTTAACGAGTTAAAATGGGTATGCATGAGTCTGCTCGACTCTAGGCGAGGATCCGAGCCCAAGGACGATCGCGGATAGTAACATGGCATCTTCAGGCGGGGTGGTGTATTCGAATGATGATCTTCTCGCCCGGAAGACCGGACGGATGCCTGTCGTCGTACTGCGCGCATATTGTTACCAAGCCGCGGCATGGACTGCCTATCGTTGGAGCAGGCGGGGTAGGAAACTGATCATCCTGTGACGGATGGATATCGTGCGGGACGTCGGCTGGTTTCCTGCACTCGCATATGTACATACATCGATAGTAATTCGCGTCGCGCCGGGAAAAAACTGGTCGATTGACCCTGTGAACATGATAAGGTCAAATTTGCAGGACGAAAGGGATCTAAAGAACAATACTGACGCAAAGCGGAGACCGGTGAGCTTTCGTAAGGCAACTGCCGTCTTTTGGACGCTGGTGGACCAGTCCACATGGGGGTCTCGCAGGATCGCATAGCAGCCCGAGAAGAAAAGGCGCTCCTGACTCAACGAAGAGCGTTTCACGAGAATCTTCAGGGTTTGGAACAACTGAGTCTCCCACTGATACTCGTAGACATCACTAGAGTCATCGCTCCCCTCGTGCTCCTGCCTATTGTAAGAAGATGCCACAAGCCATGACCTGGAATTGCCTCACCATCTGCGCGTCGGAAAATGCCATAGCTGCATCGTCTTCATCGGCAGGTACTTCATTCGCGAGGCTCGCATCCGAATTCCCGGAAGGAATGGTGTTGTTCTGCGCAAAGTCCGGAGTATTTCTTGATGCACCTAAATTTCCCGAGTCTATCTTAGACTTCCGCACGCGGTGCCGCGTTCTGTAGTACTCTCTGCACCGTTCGCAGGACCGCCCACCGCCAGCGACAGGTTTCTGGCATCTCGTACATGGATGCGCGCTGGCCGCGTCAGGTGTGGTCGCATCAGATTCGGACACTTCAGTTAGGAAACACATAGATCGGTCAGTGCCCACTCAAAGCACGTCACTAGGAAACGCACGCTTAGCGCTGACAGCTGCAGCTACGTTCTGGTCAGGCTTCTTTCCCGCATCGTCAAGCTTCGGTCTCTTCTTCCGCTCGTGATAATACCGCCTGTATTTGTCCCTGCATGATGTGCACATTTTGTGGTCGTCCGCCACCGGTATTCGTAGTTTGCTACATACGGTGCAGTACCGCAGCCCAGAGTCCAATTTCGTCGCGTCTACAGCTGAGCCTTCAGAAGCAGGATTGACCACCTTGTCTTGACTGACTGACGCGTCCAGTGCCATTGCTAGAGTCGTAGCAGAGTGTACGGGATTTCGATCCACGCGTGCTGTGTAAACGGGAGTCCACAAGTCACAGGCGCGCGTGTGCCACATGGTTCTCGAACCTATCGGGATATGTTTCGGTCATGCCACAAGTCACTGATTTGGGACATTCTGCACTTTCGGTACGCTATCAATAGAAGAGAGCGCCTCATTACTTTGCTGGATGTTCCGTGCTTCCCTGAATGTGAAGTTTATTGGCGCGCTAACGACCAGAGTCCTCACGGAATGTACGACAGCGGCTGTGGTTCTTGAATATGCACGTCTAACGACGGTCAGAAGCCTCAATGCACCTATCCACCCAAGTGAACTTGATGTCAGTTCCGACCCGCGGAGCGTCTTCTATTCCTCATGACTTTCGTTAGCTACTCCTTCGCGAGTCTTTAGCCTATCTTGGACGCAAAGATTATATCAGCTCAGTAATTATCAGGACAGTTTCCGCTGCTCTACCCCGTCCTAATCGGCTGGGAGAAATCAGCATATGCCTTGACGCATACGCCAGTGCTACATAGGCCCTGGTGCCGATGAATTTGTCAACTGTCTAAATGGTGTCATAGCATCGAGGACGGAGTTCGGGCTGGTCGGCGATTTCAATGGCGGTTCCTGAAGAGCATACTGCTGCCGTGGTACTGACCAGAGCCCCCCCCCCCCCCC